AACTTGCAAAATTTGGGAAAATTTCCAGAGTCACTTCACCAGTTTATGACACTTTTCTGGCCCCACGTTGGGCGCCAATATAACAAATCACTGTTAACACAAGTTTCGTTTGATATGACTTCTTTATTTCGCAGAAAACTGTAACATTTTTTTTTGTTGATTGATTGACAATACAGTTGACAAAAAATTCTCCCATTTTGCATGTGGTGATAGGTAATAGATAATATAGGTAATATCGAGATATAATAAATATGGGTTTGTTACATATAAATATGCATAGGCGCCGGAACCATGGGGGCAATGGGGGCTTGAGCCTCCGCAGTGAATTTGCTATGGGGGCGAAGCCCCCATAGTGATTTTGGCATTGTATGTAGTGGGTGTAATGAGCAGGTACAAAAATATGGAGTTCCTGATCCTAACATTCCTAACTATTTAATTTTTTTGTCAAAAAATGTCAAAACACCAGTTTTCGCACCAGTTACTATGCAATTATCTGATAATTTGCACTAGTGCAAATTATCGCGTAATTTAAATCTGATTGGTTCAAATTAACAATCAAAACCTGTCAATTTATTGTTGGAATACCAGTTTTGACAGATGTGTGAAATTCTCAATAGTAATATAACGAGTGCAATGGAAATTATCGAAAATTTTTGGGAAATTTCCCCGAATGCAGTGCACGAGTGCCTTTTTCAGTTAAAAACGCATGAGTGCAAATTTGCAAAAATTATAGATATATTTCCATTGCACGAGTTGTATTTAATGAGAGAATTTCATGAATCAGAAAGGACCCCGCACACCTCTTATGGGTTTTTGGTTTTCTGTCAAACTCAATGAAATTTTGATATGTGGTATATCTTGACTTACTGATAAAAAGTTCTCATGGGCCCAACCCGATACTATGAATAGTTTCCGAAATACAGGTGGTTTAATATCCAAGAAATGTACACATTTTATATGCATTCACATCTATCTGTCACCTATTAATAGGTCTGTCAGAGTGAATTTCATTGGTTGAAACTAGTTTTCTGACTGTTTCTGACTGTTTTCGACCAATCAAATTCGCTCTGACGGGTTTGTGATTTTTGCAGAAACAGACCTATTATTAGATGACAGGTAGATGTGAATACATATAAAATGTGTACATTTCTTGGACGTTAAAGTACCTGTATCTCAAAAACTAATCATAGGATTGGTTCGGGCCCATGAGAACTTTTTATCAGGAAGTCAAGGTCTAACACATAGCAAAATTTCATTGAGTTTGACAGAAAACCAAAAACCCATAAGAGGTGTGCGGGGTCCTTTAATTTTTTTGTCAAAAAATGTCAAAACACCAGTTCTCGCACCAGTTACTATGCAATTATCCGATAATTTGCACTAGTGCAAATTATCGCGTAATTCCAATCTGATTGGTTCAAATCAACAATCAAAACGTGATCGTTTTTTGTTGGAATGTTAGTTTTGACAGATGTATGAAATTCTCATCAAAATTTGTTAAAATAGCCGCATTGCCGCTTGCCCTCATTATTAGAAGTCCCAAAAATACTGTGAAAAGACCCAAAAATTTCGCAGCTGCGGCGCTTTTCTTCCTGCAGCGCTTGCGACGAAGTTGCAACTGCTGTAAGGATCACTTCCTGCAAATTTGCCCCTCCCCTCCTAGACCAAATCCTGACTACGCCAATGGTGCTGTCGAAGCCGAATATAGCCGAGCTGTCGAAGATGTACGAATTTCAATAATATGAAGGAACCTGCGGGGACGATCAATTATCCAGCGTGGCGATCCTGCAGTGGGTATTTGTCAACTGGTCCCATTTAAGTCTATGTGTCTAGTAGCATAGTCCTCTCTGTCTAATTATTTCTACTTATATTAATTGTTGGAGCCCAAGCCCCCATAGTAATGTTGAAATTTCGGCGCCTATGTAAATATATGGGTTTGTTACACATATAAATTTGGATGTAAACTATACATAGAACTATTAAAATTGCAGTGGAAGGACTCACGAGCATTTTTGGTTCTTGTTAGTGTTGCAGAATTTTCAGCCCAAAGCTGTCGCGGAAATATAGGTGTCTGTAAAATAGTCTGCGTATTTTACAATTCTTCAATAAACCAGTTAGGGAAATTCCACCTCCAGATTAAAGAAAAGAATGTAATTTTATTTATTAATTATACCTAATCGTCCTTTCTCTAAGTGACCATCACAAAGTGTTTGGGGCGCAATTTCCTGTTATGCCTGAGCTGCCAAAGTGGACACTTTGAAACTTATGGTCATTGAAGCGAATTTACCTGTACCCTTTTCTCAATCACAATCCAATCAATCAAAAATGCTGGACCCGAGAAAACTTTGCACAATGAATGGGAAATATTTCTGAAAATGTTCTTTGTGCTAGAAAAATTTGAAAATAATAATGTAGATCATAAGTTTCCATAGATCAACGTTACAAAACGATGGAAAACAAAAATACCTAATAGTACGGGATACGAGGCCTATTTCATCAAATCATTTTACACCGTCTTGCATTGTTATCATCAGTTAGATAACATGATGCTGAAACGCACTTGCGCAGTAAAATATATGGGAGTGGGGAATTTAGCTGATAAAAATGTTTGAGAAAATGTCGTCATAATCCAGGAAAATATACAATTTCACACCGTCTTGCATTTACTTATTAAGTTAATTTGTACACAAACAAAATTAGAATACCCTATGCAAGACATTTTCCTGGGGGTTTTCGGGTTGTAATATTAGATAGAAATTGTCAATTTTTCAGAGGGGTGAAATATCATTTCACACCACTCAATTGTTGATTTAGATTAAAGCTTGAATGTAGAATAGCCATTGGATACTGATGCAAGACGTACTGTGAGGGGATAATGGGCTGCAAGACAGAGGTCAATGTGTTGTCTTATGAGGGAGGAGGAAATCATTTTACACCGTCTTGCACTGGTACTTATGGGAAAAATAGAACACATTGATAACATTTTTAAAAATACAAGACATTCTAAATGGGAAGAAAGGACTGCAAGACGATGATGAAGTTGACTAATTTTGACAAGGGTCAATCTATCAGGTACAAAGGTGAATACTACTTCAAATTACAAATTATGCACATTAATTTTAAATAGTTTTGCTCTTCATCCCATGACACATAACATGTTTTGTGCACATAACATTGTAAGCATTAAATTTGAAGAATTTCATTTTAAAGCAGCAAAAAAATGTGAAAATGACACAACAAATGATCTGTCTGAAATTGTAAACAAAAATTATAATTCCTGTATTCAACAGACTCCCCTGTTGAGCTGCTATGTCAACTGTCCTTTTTCATCTGTATGATTTAAAAAAGAATAAACATTGAACGGTTCAGTAAATAACTCAACAGTTCAGTGAAAAAATTAAAATGGATTTTTTAACTTTTTTCCCAGAAAAAACGTCTTGGACTGATGTAATACCATTTCTTAACATAGATTCTTTCGGCGGACATAAGCATGAAGTGGTGTAAAATAATTTTTCACTCCCTCATGAGACAACACATTGACATCCGTCTTGCAGCCCGTTATCCCTCTACAGGACGTCTTGTATCAGTATCCAGTGGCTATTCTACATTCAAGCTTTGATATAAATCAACAATGGAGTGGTGTAAAATGATATTTCACCCCTCTCAAAAATTGACAATTTCCATCTTATATTACAACCCCAAAACCCCCATGAAAATGTCTTGCATGTGTTAATCCAATTTTGTTTATGTACAAATTAACTCAATAAATAAATGCAAGACGGTGTATAATTAAATATTTTCCTCGTTTATGATGACATTTTCTGAAACATTTTTTTCAGCGAAATCCCCCACTCCTATCTATTTCCCTGCACAAGTGCGTTTCAGTACCATGTTATCTAACTGATGATAACAATGCAAGACGGTGTAAAATGATTTGATGAAATAGGCCTCGTATCCCGTACTATAATGAAATTTCAATTTTTTTTCTATTGAGATTTTGTGTTTAAATGATCATACGATAAATTATTTTGAGATTTGAATAATATTAAAAAATTGTCATTGTCATTCTGTGTGTAGTTTTGTTCTTGCTGCCGTTATTATGGGTCAGATACTTAAAGGTCGAATTTTCATTTCTATAATTAAAATAGAATTATTACTAAATTTACTAATTGCAATCAGTGGGTAATTGAAATTTATAAAATGTGATCTACCAATGAAATAACAATTTTCCGCAATCAAATAAGGATTTCGAATTTGCATATTGCAACAAAACATGCAAAACTTTGAAAAGGCTATTCATTAAAATATATGTATATGATCCAATTCTATAATATTTACAAAATGCCAAAATTATTGGTTTTGTCATTTATTTTAATTAAAATGAACATTAATATTCATTTGACAAAAACTAGCATGACAATAAAATCGAACTAGTGATGTGCAATTTTCACGCACTTGGCATACTTAAGTGGCACGTTCGATAATTGCCTTGTAAAACGAACATTTTCTATCCAATAACACAATAAGCATTATTGACTTTACATTGAATTTGACCGCAGCAGTAAAAAATATTTCTATTGCTTAAGAATTAATGGTAGCTACCGACTATAGCGATATAAAATTCTAATATGCCTATGAATTACCATTATAATAATTTAGCAACAATCAACACTGAATTAGTTTCTCAATGTGGTTTGGTTAATGCGTTTTTTTTCTCAACGAATGCATTTTTGCAAAATATGAAACAAATCATCTGTAAAGTTGTTTGAACTCTTTAATGTGATGACTGATTGTGATTGAAAAAATGAATATTTGATATTCCATTAATAAAGATAGAATTTTTCAAAATTTAAGAAGAGGACAACACTTCTTCATTGTGCCAATCGAAAGAAAAGGTAGAAAATAGTGGTTATTGAAGTTTGAGTTGAAATTTCGCAGGCAATGAAATTTCAATCATATTATAACGAAACTTGAACAATGAATTGATAATTTTTTTGTTACAGATAAAGCAACATGTATTATAAGTCCCTCTTCCTACTACTAATATGCTGCTCGGTCACCTTTCAACAATCAATCCTCGAAGGAGTAATCAAATTGATCCAAGAAGGTCAAGATCAGATTACCGCCGAACCGCCTGATCTACGAGCTAACGAAATGCTGAAAGAATATGACTTCATTATTGTAGGCGCTGGTACTGCCGGTTGTGCTCTCGCTAACCGTTTGACTGAGAATCCGGAATGGAATGTATTACTTGTGGAAGCAGGTGATTTAAAATTGAATAAATATAAAAGTCGATATTAATTTGCATAAAAAAAATTAGGTCTTTTATGACGTGCGAAATTTTCTCCGCGTCATTCTACCTATTTTACTATACACAATTGCGTACACTGTATCTACATATCTAACTCGGCGTCTTTGCTACTAGAATTGATTTTTCTTGTCACACTAGTTTATCGATATTCTGTCAACCAATTCGATTCCTATGCACAGATTTTTGTATATAATGCTTTACCTTCACGTAGAACCGTGGATTGTTAATAGGAATATTTTGTTAATGTCGATTGTTGTTAATAGTATCAACCTGCCCTATCAACTGATTAATTTAAGTCCGATTATAACGCCACAGTCCACTTTATCACTGGCTTCAGGTGACACATGTTTCGTTGAATTGAAAAATTATTCTTCATTTTAGACAGGTCATGTGGGTCAAGGTTGACTATATGAAAGTTTTAAGAAGAACTGATATTTCAAGATTTTTCCTGGTTTGATTGGTGAGTTCGAGGGGTAAACCGCCAATTTATTCGAGTGTACAAGCCTCATATAATCCCATGTATTTTTATTTTCTTATGCAATCCAATGTATTCTTATGTATGCGCCCTATGTATTCATATGTATTTTTTTGTACTCCATGTATTCATATGTATATATTCCTATGTATTCTTATGTATTCCTTTATGCTCCATGCATTTCGTGTATAAATTTGGCTTGCAATTTACCCCTCGGGTGAGTTCAATGTATAACATTTCAGTTGGAGAAAGAGAAGTCGTCTGTCGTTGGTTCCAGTTACAACTTATTGCTGATAGCTCCTGCATTATCTCTGCCAACCAATTTCTGGTTCCAGGATTACTAGACACCTGCGGTAATGGTAGATTTATATTGAGTCTTTACGTCCTTACTACACAACGAAATTTATACACCATGGAAGTTTCAAGAAACTCTGCACTGATATTTCAAGATTTTTCCTGGTTTAATTGGTGAGGTCGAGGGGTGATCCGCCAATGTATTCCAGTGTACAAGCCTCATGTAATCCCATGTATTCTTATTTTCTCATGCAATCCAATGTATACCCTATGTATTCATATGTATTTTTTGTTCTCCATGTACTCATATGTACAGTCGTGACCATAAAAGTGGGACACCCGACTGACAGGTATTGTCATTAGTAGAGTGTTTTCACAGCTATCAGACCAATACCACGTAAAACCCCCCCTCCAGCACAGCCATCATACCACTACCCACCTCCACTGTAAACTCCCTTCCGTGAAGCTCCTACCCTGAGAAGGCAATTTGTTACCCACCACCACTGTGAATCCTCTTCCGTAAAGCCCTCCATTAATCTATTTCCAAAAGGCTCCTACCCTGAAATGACACTTTTTTGTATCCCTCCACTTTCTTGGATACTAAAGAATATTTAACCAATTCTTCCATTTATATTCGTCAATTTTGGAGTTGGCCCGGGTTAAATCCCCAAAATTTCAGATCAAAGGCGCCGCCGATCTAGAGATTTTCCCACGGTATCGAAAAACTTCCCAGGCTCAAGTGCCCCCGGCTATCAGACCACCTCTACTATGTAAATGGTCCACCAGGTTCACAAGCAAAATGTTATTATTACAATAAAATTAATCCCATGGAGTTTAGAACACTATTGACGAATACAAATGCAGGATTTGTTCAAATATTCTCCAGTTTTCAAGAAAGTGAAGGAATATGGAAAGAGGTACCTCTTTAGAGTAGATGCTTTTTGACGAAGTAGAGGAGGGTATTGCTCTGCTAGCTGTAAGGTGGGTATTAATCATGAACAGGTGCATTAATTTTATTGCAATAATAAACATTTTGCTTGTGAAACTGGTGGACCATTTACATAGTAGAGGTGGGTATTGGTCTGATAGCCAAGTGCACTTGAGCCCAGAAAGTTTTTTGATACCGTGGGAAATCTCTAGATCGGCGGCGCCTTTTATTTAAAATTTTGGGGATTTGACCCGGGCCAACCCCAAAATTGACGAATACAAATGGAAGAATTGGTTAAATATTCTTTAGTATCCAAGAAAGTGGAGGGATACAAAAAAGTGTCATATCAGGGTAGGTGCCTTTTGGAAATAGATTAATGGAGGGCTTTACGGAAGGGGGTTTACAGTGGTGGTGGGTAACAATTGCCTTCTCAGGCTAGGACCTTCACGGAAGGGGGTTTATAGTGGAGGTGGGTAGTGGTATGATGGCTGTGCTAGAGGGCAGTTTTTACGTGGTAGAAATGGGTATTGGTCTGATAGCTATGAAAACACTCTACTATCATTTTTCGCTATTTTGGGTAAATCAGTCTTTTCTCCACAATGGATTTTTTGTCAAATATGACAATCCCTGTCATTGCCGTAGGTGTAGCTGATGAGCTCGTTTTACAATAGGAAAAAACGGGTGCCCCACTTTTTATGCTCACGGCTGTACATATTCCTATGTATTCTTGCATTGTTAAGTATTCCTTTATGCTCCATGTATTCGGTGTACAAATTTGGCTGGCGGTTTACCCCTCGGGTGAGTTCAATGTGTGATATTTCAATTGGAGAAAGAGAAGTCGTCTATCGTTGGTTCCAGCAATAACTTATTGCTCATAACTTCTGCATTATCTCTGCCAACCAACTTCTGGTTCCAGGATGACTGGCAATGCTAGATTTATATTGAGTCCTTACTACACAACAAAATTTACATACTATGGAAGTTTTAAGAAGCTCTGCACTGATATTTCAAGATTTTTCCTGGTTTGATTGGTGGGTTCGAGGGGTAAACCACCAATTTATTCCAGTGAACAAGCCTCATGTAATCCCATGTATTCTTATTTTCTCATACAATCCAATATATTCTTATGTATGCCCTATATATTCATATGTACATATTCCTATGTATTCTTGTATTCCTTTGTACTCCATGTATTCGGTGTCCAAATTTGACTGGCGGTTTACCCCTCGGATGAGTTCAATGTGTGAGATTTCACTTGAAGAAAGAGAAGTCGTCTGTCGTTGGTTCCAGCTACAACTTATTGCTGATAACTCCTGCATTATCTCTGCCAACCAGTGGCGGACTGGCTAGGTCGGCAGGGTCTTTATTCTTGAAAAAAGGGAGCCGCGTTCCCAGGTGAACGAGTGTTCTGTCTTTCTCAATGATATGCAAATGATAATATAAGTAACAAAGACGAAACACTCGTTCTCCTGGGAACGCTGCTCCCCTTTTCCAAGAATAAAGACCCAGGTCGGCAAATGCCAACCGGGCTCCCATTTCTTAGGCGCCCTCGTTTGTGCAATCGCATATAAATATATGCTCTAAAAATAGTCGGTACGTCTCTGTTTTCCAGAATGTCCACCGAAGCCTGTCAACGCGGGAACTCGAAATCGTTGTGTCCACACTCCACTATTTCGCAACGGCCCTAGGGAGTTGAACTCCTGACTGATCCCACTTTCGGTCATTCGGCATGTTGGGCAAAGCTCTTGAGCTTCTCCCACAGAATGTTAGGTCACAGAACCGAACGAGGACTCGTCTTGTTCGAACGAGTACTCTGGCAACAGAGGATGTAGGTGTCTTACAGTCTTACCTAGAAAAAGTTTTGTCCTGACCAGTTGAGCAGAACAGCGGGGCCACTGCATCGCCACTATCCCAGAATCCAGAATTCTGGGCAACGAAGCGAACTCTGGCTCCATAAAGCTGGGAGGGTTGTGACAGCTTGAGTCCGTACCTTGTTTTGGCAGGGGATTCATGACCCCGAACACAAAGAATATGGTGCATGTAGACTACATGAATGCACTGGTGAAATCTGGCGCATAAGTCGCAATCCCAGCCTCTGGGCAACGGGGCAAGCAATAGAATATTGATATGTAGTAGGCTGGGTAGTAAGCTTAGCCGATAACGACTCGTTAAACGTTGCTTTCAGTCTTAAAGGGGGTGTGACCCAAAAAAAAATAATCTAAAAACCAATTTTCAAACTGCACTAGGCTATGACCAACCGTTGCGAAGATACAAAGATACGTGGTATGAAGTTCCCACTCACAGCACTGTGACCTCATATGCACAAACTAAGTCCGCTGGCCGGCGCTGGGCGCGCGTTTGCTCATGCTTATCGTATATTATCGACATTAGGGTATTGTTTTTGCGTTCTCACCCCTATCATTGCGTCAGCCTAAATACGTTTTGTAACTTTTGCGTGTGTTTATGACGTCAAGCAAGACAAGTTGTATTTTAAGGTTGCACCCCTTTTAAGCGGGGTGGTGTGCGTAACCACGTCCGACGGGGTGCACAACTAGTGTTTCTGTGCACGTAACTTGTTCATTACGCCCAAGTGTTGGGGGCCATCACACTATACAAGCAGCCCAGTCATACATATTTTCCTAGGGCGCAACAAATGTGCCCAAAAGTCACGTGCGCTGAGTTCAGTAGTCTGCGAAGCGGTTGCGCAGAGCTTGACCGTAACATAGTGGCTATATATTATTACCATTACCCTGCAACACTTCTATCTACCTTTAACTCGAACTGTAACCATTATTAAGTTTTTACAATATTTTATGGTTCAGAATGCGTTATGCCCGTAAAAAGATATAGACCCAGTATTGCCAGGCGCGGGCCACCAAGGTGAGCGAAACCGACCTAGTTCTACTGTGCCAGTCCGCCACTGCTGGCCAACCAACTTCTGGTTCCAGGATTACTGGAAAAATGGTAATGGTAGATTTATATTGAGTCCTTACTACACAACCAAATTTACACACTTCATGAAGTCCCTACACATTCCCTACAACAGAACATTTAAACTTTCACATCCAGTTTCTGTTGAATAGCTATAAAAGAAAATTATATCCATTGGTAAACTTTCCAGTACTTGTTTCGAAATAAACATCTTATACTCGCATTTCATGCGTTTGAAAAGCTAGAGGATAACCGCGTCTGAAATATCTTGAAGACATCGTGGAAGAGTTTTACAGCAGAAAGAAAAGACGTCAAAATCAGATTAGTCTTCAAAATTATAAATTGATTTCTATTCAGGTCGTCCAGAAAACTTCCTAATGGACTTACCAATTTTGGCTAATTACCTGCAATTCACCGAAAGTAATTGGCGATACAAGACAGAACCTGATGGAAAAGCTTGTTTGGGTATGGATGGCACGCAATGCAACTGGCCCAGAGGAAAAGTTGTAGGTAAACTCATAAAAATTATTTTGTCCGAACTCGACATGTTCTAATCGTCTTATTATTTTTCAGGTGGTTCCAGTGTCTTAAATTATATGATCTACACCAGAGGAAATTGGAGAGACTATGACAATTGGGCTGCTATGGGTAACCAGGGATGGTCGTTTGATGAAGTATTGCCCTATTTTAAGTGAGGAATTTTCATTTTTATCTAGATTATAGCTTATCAAATTAGAATCCTTCTTTTTGAATTGAAACTTCTACGAAATTTGCCCAAGTAGAGATTGTTGGAGATTCCATTCCATCTCAATTTCTCGTGAATGTATACGTGATTTTTCAAAGATGTTTTATATTTTTCAGAACACTATCTTAAGCATTTTTCTTTTAAAATTCTATACTATTTGAAATACATAATTATTAGGATTTTCTAGTCTTAACCAAGATTAGAGAGAAGCTTTTATTCACTTTAGCAAACTGTTTAATGTAAATATCTGAATGCTAACAACATTAAAGTACAAATATGAACTGTCTTAAAATAACAGATATTTAAAGCCTTTTAAGACCAGCGTATCGTGCCTATTGATCGTATCCTGTGGATTATTGGAGGTTGGTGAAGGTAGCGAATTATCAGGGGTAATACCACGAGTGCTTAAAAATTACCGACAATTTTCATGAAAGCTTGTTGTTTTGATTCCACGAGTTCGAAGAACGAGTGGAATTTGTACAACAAGTTTGAATGAAAATTATCTGGTTAATTTTTAAGCACGAATGGTATTTAGGGAGAATATTTCACGAATTTTATGAAAATTATGGAATAAAATTAAATTTAAATTTGTTAAAGTCGTTAAAATACTTCCATGAGCAATTTTGCGGTAACATTCCAGAGAACTTTGACTGTAATGCTCTTTATATTCTTCTCCGTTCCTTTTTCTCATATTGAAGGCCCAGCTTTTCAGGATAGATGCAAGTTCGGATATTGGAGTATCTTGATCAAAAGTGTACTTTTTTTCGCCGCAAAATGACATAAACTGCCTCCAAATACTGCTTTTAGATTTCATTGTGTTTTTTTGGTTCAACTTTCACTATGGGTACTTCCGTCGATTTCCACATCTTTCACTTCACCAAACCGATTCATATATTAATGTATTTTTTTTTTCAGAAAAATTGAAAACTTCACAGTTCCAGGACCTCACGCTCCCGGATACCATGGCCATGAAGGTTATTTGGATGTCAGCTATGCCCCCTATAGAACTAGGATCGCTGACGCAATTGTCAATTCCAGCATACAAAACGGATTTTCTTATGTAGATTATAATGGACCTACACAGGTAATTGATAGTATTCAGTTTCAGACTGATACCAATTTTGCTGTTTTTCAGGTGGGTGTTTCATATCTACAGCTTAGTCTCAGAGAAGGGGTAAGGGCAAGTTCCAGCAGAGCTTATTTGCACCCAATCAGCAGTAGACCAAATTTACATGTGACCAAGTACACGATGGTCAAGAAAATTGTAATAGGTATGTATTTAAAGTAGCAGAACTCACGTTATTTACCATTGGGCATTAGAAACTTTTTGTTTAAACACCTAGAATGTATATGCATCCAAATTTGTTTGGGTTAAACTCAGTAGAAATAGAGAGAATAGGAAAAGAAATGATTTTATTGAATACTTTTTCTTAGATCCTCAAACCAAACAAGTCCAAGGCGTCGAAATGGTGAAAAACGGCCGTACTTACTTTGTCAAAGCCAAAAAAGAAGTTATTTCCTCGGCTGGAGCCATCAACTCCCCACAGCTCCTTATGTTGAGCGGAGTAGGACCAAAAAAGCACCTTTCAAATATTGGTGAGTACTTACCTGAAAAAAAAATACAAATATTAATAAACCATATTATATTTCAGGAATTCCCGTCATAAGCAACCTTCGTGTGGGTTACAATTTAATGGATCATATTGCTATAGGTGGAATCACCTTTTTAATCAACGAAACTATATCATTGAAAACTGAAAGACTAATCAGCAACCAATACTTGAAGGACTTTTTTAACGATCACAAAGGACCTTTAACCATTCCTGGAGGTTGTGAGGTATGTCTCTTTGTATTTGAAAGTAAAAACTCAATTAGATTCACCTTCTAGGTGTTGATATTTCACGACTTTGAACATCCAGGTGATCCAAATGGTTATCCAGATATTGAACTACTGTTTCAAGGTGGTTCCATAGTGTCAGACATAGTCTTGAGAAAAGATTTTGGAATAACTGATGAAATTTACAATGCTGTTTTCAAGCCTATTGAAGACTTAGATTCGTTTATGGTAAAAAAGAATCTAGTACATTCTAATCCTGTGAACAAAATTTTAAATTTGTAGGTGTTTCCCATGTTACTCAGGCCAAAAAGCAAAGGTAGAATTATGTTGAAGAGTGCCAACTATAAAAACAAACCATATATTTACTCAAATTATTTCGCTGAGCCGGAAGATATGGAAACGATGCTTAAAGGAGTTAGGCTGATATTGAATATAACCTCCCAACCTGCCCTAAAAGCTTTAGGTGAAATTTATTGTTTCAAAGTTTTATTGAAAAATGTTGACTGAAAATGTTCTGCAGGTGCCAGACTTCATACTATCCCCATACCCCAGTGCTCAAACATACCATTTGGTAGAGATGAGTATTTCGAATGCATGGCCAGATATTTCACCTTTACCATTTACCATCAAAGTGGTACCTGCAAGATGGGACCTAGTAGTGATAAAAAAGCTGTGGTAGATCCCAGACTTAGGGTGTATGGAGTGAAAGGATTGAGGGTAACAAAAAATATCTTTAATATTTTGATATTCCTGACAATGTGGTGGTTGAATAATTGTCAGAGTTTTCAAATAAATAGAGATTTTAAAGAACAGAAACAATAGTCAGTAAAAATTGTTTTAGGTTATTGATGCATCAATAATGCCAGAAATTCCAGCAGCACACACCAACTCACCTACATTTATGATAGCTGAAAAAGGGGCAGATATGATCAAAGAAGATTGGGGCTTTGCAACAAATTTAATTAGATAAACAATTTAAAGAAATGTGATATTAGGCTAGTTATAGTTGATTTTTGTATATATGTAGTTAGGTTGGAACTAGATAGAATACAATATGCTCAATAAGAAAATAAGTGTTATGAAAATTTATAAATTATTATTAGGCATTGAAGGATATTATATTCTAAACATGCATGTATGTTTTAGTTTAAGTATTCAGTGAATTAGGAACTAAAATCAAATTTTGTTGTTTTGTCTGCAAGTGTTTATCAAAACAAAAATGGAAATGATATCATTCATAAGCAATACATTTTATGTGCCAGTATTTTTTACAAAAATTCTTCTTGGTGCTCAACGAGCCTATCTAACTGGATGCTGAATAAATTTTTGCCAAAGTGTCTCGCATTTTCTTATCCTCATTAGTTCACGGGCTAGTTCAAATATCTTGGATCAAGTTTGTTCGTATTTTCAAGCTGGGGCCTACGAAAATACCTTGAAAATCCGAAATATTGAGAGAGTCGACATGAATTAATGCAAAATAATTAACTAACTTGTTTCGTGAGGTAACTATCGCGCAACTTTCTAAAGCATTAAAAAGAAAACCTTTAAAGTTATAAAAGGAAGAAAGAAACAATTAAACCCTGCAGTTTTGATTTATTTTCGGTAGAAATAAACTAGACCATCTAAAATGAATATTTTGGTAAGTGAACCTTATACGTTTTCCAGAAATATAGCATTGTTTGTTTTAGATATTTTTGGCTGCATTCGGTGTATGTGTATTGGCCAGACCTGAAAGAGAAACCGCTCCGAAGAACTATATCCCTAATGAATATGAAAAACAACAAAATATGGCTGCAAGGTATGAAAAATCGATAAGTAAAGTGCACTGCAATTATTATTGTGCTATTTTATAGATACAAATACTCTTCTAATATTGATGACCATATCAGCGATTTGACCCATCAACATGAAGAAGAAAGGGAAGGATTGGCTGTCAAAGGAATGTACTCGTACAGCGATGGATTCTACAAAAGAAACGTGCAATATGTAGCTGATGAAAATGGCTACAGAGTTATTGGGTAAGTGAGAAAAAGCAACTTTTTTTATCAAACAAAATTTTTTGTCCTGCAATTCCAATAAGATTTTCTTGGTTTCTGAATTTAGGGAATCAGCAGTACCCCTCGACGGACCTCACATTGATTTGAGTGGTACTGCCTCAGTACAATCTGCCGCCCACGGTTCCCGCCTAGCTTACAAAGTACAAAGTGTTCCAGTCGAGGGACCAGTGGCCAAAATAGTTGGAGAAAATGGAGACACCAGATTTTAGACTGGAATATTCGAGGGACCTGTCTCAAACTAATGGGAGACATCAGATTTTTTTTAAATAGTTTGTTTTTGAAAAAATAAAAAATGTAATTAAAGTTTTGCGTATCTATTTTTTTTCGTTACATAAAATATTGTTCAATACAATCAACCAAGAGCAATTAGTAGGAAGATCGAATATGGTTTCAATGCATTTTGAATTGTCTCAGGTCCAAAATAATCCAATGAACTGAGTTTTACGAATCGAAATCGCTTTGTCTGATTTATGATTTCTGCAATACAAAGGCACAGATGAAGGATTCTAATACAAAAAGAATGTGAGGATATTTTTGGATTAAACATCCAGTTCTAGGATGTCATTGAACAGATAGGACTAACCCAAACCTGGTTGGGGACATTGATATCTTGGGAAGAGTTCAGCGTAGAGTGACAAAACTTCCCCCTGATATCGGAAATCTCTCATACAAAGAAAGACTACTGAGATACGACATAACAACCTTCAAAGCTAGACGAGAGAGAGGGGACTTGATTGAAACGTACAAAATCTTAAATCACCATTATTCTCCTGATTTGCAATTGGACATTTTAAGTCTAAATACTAACCAGCAACTCCGACGCCATACTAACAAGCTGGATAAAGAGAGATGCTCGAAACTGATCAGAAAGAATTTTTTTGGCGAATAGGGTTGTCTATCAGTGGAACGCCCTTCAGCTGAACTGAATTTTGTGTATTACATGTGACTCATAACAGTGAAAACAAGGATATAACAATACAGCAGTAGTCTCATCGGCGTTGTCGCTTACTGCTGCTCAAACCTACAGTAAGTTGCCAACTCTTTTTGGTTCTGTATGTTTTATTTTACTCAAAGTGTCATAATCGTGAAATTCTCTTGAAACTATACTCATATTTGCCCTGTTTTTTCTAGAAGGAATTTCAAAAGTTAGGAATGTATGCATATCAATAAAAATATTGAATCTATGGGCTGATTTCTGTGACTTAAAGAGTAACACTTGCCTCATATTTTTTCACTTAACAATCCCAAAAATTCAACAACTTTATTCAAAAAGTAGAGATATTTTTGTTCGCCAAACTATTTTAGAAAACATGAACCCTTCAACTTTTGCTTTCCACCTCAACCAAGGCACTTCAACTTTCTAAACGACAGCATTCTCGATAAATATTAAATCTCAATTAGTGTAGGTACTTTCTAAGACATTCAAAAGACTTCACTTTGCATTATCAACACGTCAGCCCCACAGAAATAATGCAGTTGTTGAATTTTTTGGGTGTTTGTTGTGCCCTAGTGACATTGGTACACTGTCAGAGTTTAAGACAAACGGTAAGAATTAATTTAGATTACTTAAAGTGAAAATTATTGTAGGGAAAGATTTATTAATCAATGACTATTTATTGGTAGAATATTCCATAAAATAATTTTTCTTAGCAGAACAATGCTCTACAAGATAATATCGAATATATCAGACTATTTGAACACCGAAGTCTGGAACCCCAACAAGTTGCAACACCAAAAGACGACCTTCAGGGTGACCCTGCTGAGTTGAGAGAGTTATTTAAAGAATTTTTGCTTCAATACAAGAAAAATTCCGAAGGCCAAAAAACTGAAGAAGTAACAATACTTAAAAGTAAGATAAAATTCCATCAATAATTTCAAAATGTTTCAGAAACCTTCTACCACAACAACTACACAAGTGCCAGTCCTCCCAGTTTTAAATCTTGAACAGGAATCTGAACCTTCTACCACAACAACTACACAAGCTTCCATGCCCATCTTCCCAGTTGTAAATCTCAAACAAGAATCTGTCAATGTTCAACCAACTCAAAAACGGCGCTTAACTCTCAAAAGAAAAACTGCCAAACCTGACACCAATAGAAATAATTTAGCTAGCTCCAAACCTGTTTCTACTTCATTGAGCCACATTACTGAACCAGCACCGAGAATTGAGAGGCAAAAACAAACCACAACGAGCACTCTAATTGTAGTCGAAGAAGAACGAAGAGAAATACTTCATCATAATACTGCTCCGCAAATTGTATTCAAACCAGCACCAGTAATTTCCCAAGAAATCGACGAAGTCGAATCTAGAAAACAAGCAGAAGATGCAAAATATCAATTTGCAAGTGCCGTTGATGATGGGATTAGTGGTAATTTGCTTCAGAGGGAAGAAGTTAGAGATGGTTTGGCTGTAAGAGGTAAATACAGCTTCAGCGATGGGTATTTCAAGAGGACGGTGCATTATGAGGCTGATGATAGAGGATATAGAGTTATCAAGTGAGTAGCTATCGAATTTATCCAGAGACATAGACTCTACAATTTTATTATCAATTTTTAGGGAAGAAGTTGACACCCTTGACGGTCCTCACACCAACCCAAATGGTCGCGCCAAAGTAAGTTCCTACCTGGATGGTAATTCGGCCAATTACGAAATCACTAAAGACGACATTAGAAAGAAAGATGAGAAGCTAACATTTTCTACTGTGTTTGATAAAAACTAAGTGACAACTGAACTAATTGTACTCTAATGAATGTAATATTTTTTATTTTAAACCATATATGTAATTTTCACATTCTTTACTGGTTTTAAGGTTCGAAAATGTCACTTTACTTTTGTTTACTTTAAAGCAGGCGGAAAGTGACTGTTCTTCTGTCACTTTCGGCCTGGAGAACTCACTTTGCGCCCTGAGTCCTTATTCTTGAAACAGGTGAGCAACGTTCCCAGGAGAACGAGTGTTCCGTCTTTCTCAATGATATGCGAATGATAATATAAGTAACAAAGATGGAACACTCGTTCTCCCGGGAAGTTTGCTCCCCTATTTCAAGAATAAGGACTCTGATAAATTGTTCTTTCACACTTAAATACAAATCCAGGTGCAATGTTTGTATTTGGAAGTAGATGTCACATGTGTTTATATTGTTGAAATTTGAAATGTCAATGTCGGTGTCAGAGTGTCAGTCGAAATTCCATTTTTGTCATATTTTTACCTTATTTTTTTCAATAATTAATGGTTCAAAATAAAATAGTATACATAATTCGGTGGAAAGTTTTCTCATTATTGTCTCGAGAATTGGTTGACCTCGGCGCTTCGCACCTCTGTCAGCCATAGTATCTCTCGACAATAATGAAACACTTTCCACCTCCGCATGTAATATACTATTATCTACTAGCGTTTGGTTTTGACATTTTTACGTAACCATTTTTCTAGTATTTTGATTTACATAATACAACTAGTGGTGTTATGGACTAGGTTATCAATCTATTACACAACTAGTTTTTGTGATTTGACAAATGTCATAGTTAAACCTGTAAAGGTACAATGAAGGTAGACAACTACTAATAAACGTAAATTGAAAAAAACATTTTGTTATTTTTCGCTTTGTAGATAAAACGTTGTACATCACACGTGCGTTTGAACATAACTACAAAATTCGTGTGATTAGAACGACTCGGTCTACGACCTCGTCGTTCTAATCTTTCACACTCGTTATTGTAATCCTGTTCATAAACGCACTTGTAATGTAAATAACTATTACAAATTTAGAATTTATTTGTTTGATTAATGTAAGAATAATTACACTTTAATCAACATTAACAATATTATTTCAGTGTCTGAACTTATATGTTATTGGAAATTTCAATAAAAAGCTCCAAGATATGTAAAAAAAAATTACAATAAGCAGTTTGTAAATAATAAAAGATCCGTTATTAGTGGGAAGTCAGGCTCAACTTGCGATTCAACATTGCCAACCCAAGATCGGTTATTGACATCAATATTTTCCTGTTCATAAGCGCACAATTAGCAACAATTTTCCCATATCTATAAGGAGTTTATAATTTTTTGGATTTTGAAATGCATTTTTAAATATTAGGTCAAATTTTGGAGTGTCGATTTTCAACCAACAAAAAGATGTTTTAAAACAAGTTATTTATGCAATTCAAAAATGTCACAGATGTAGAGGGTAATTATTGAAAGTACCAAAAACCATCCGCCACTGGTTTATTTTCGGACAGGTTTCTTCTGTAGGCTTACCTTTTATATAACCCAATTACCCGTTATTTTCTGCTTCTTCCAGTGCCTACCTACACTCTTTGGTTATTATACAGCCAGTGCCCATCTTTTCGTACAGGGAAGAAGTTATCATATCAAATGAATATAATTTTGTATATTAATGAGCTAGAAACGCATCAGGGTAATTAAGTAAGCCAATAAGTAGCAGCGAGTTCTTGGAAAAAATTAACAGTGTGCATTCGCAGCGTAATTTGAAGGTGAGTGAACTTTTCGAGATGATCTTTGTATATTTACTTCATGCAAAATTCTATGTATAATGTCAAAGTCAGTGTCTAGGTCAGTGACTAGATTATACTATAGGTTGAATTATTTTCCTTGCACAAGAAGAAGCCTATTAAAATCTTTTGAGTAAGCGTAATTGTGATTTATAATTAAGTCATTATATGTAATGAAGTATACCTATACATGCATTTGAGATATCAAAATCTAGAATACAAATTTCCAAAAAATCAAAGCCTACAACTGGTTTGAAGGAGTCGGTGTAGTCTTTTTCACAAAGTCCAGAAGTCACCTCACATGTTAACGCATAATAACTTGTGAACTTAATTTTTGTGAAAAATATCTGAAATCAAGACAAATCTAGATTTGTTTGAATGGAGATGGTGCAGAGACGTATGAAACGAAGACAAAGAGAACAAAACAATTTTTTTTCAATGACTCTATCTACAATTGATATTTTTGAAAAATAATACAATAATTAACTAATAATAATATAAATATTGATTTATTGAATAAAAAACACATAGTTTTCCCCACGAGATGTTTACACATCAGTGTCTCCAGTACAAGCAGACTCACAATTTTATTTATTTTTTCAGAAATGCCTCAAAAATATCTGATTTTCCTTATAGTAGTCTTTCATTTTGCTGTCTCAGAAGACCGATTTACTGAGGACGAAAGTTACGGAAATAACAGAAATGCAAAAATTTTCTGGCCATATTACAACGTCATGCCAGTAAAAGATGATCTTCATACCCTTTACAATGGTAGATAGACTTATATTTCTGCCAATTTGATTCAAGAAAAATTATAATTTATTTCAGATCTTCCACCAACAATAGAGGAAACCTTTGATTTCATAATAGTAGGTTCGGGTTCAGCAGGTGCAGCTCTTGCCAACAGACTTTCGGAAAATCCCCAATGGAAAATATTACTTTTGGAAGTGGGAGACGTGGCGACACCTCTCACAGACGTTCCCGCTATGGCACCGTTGTTTCAGAAAACCAAATTAGATTGGGGCTATACGGCGGAAAAGGAAAATGGCAGTTGTTGGGGTACAGAACAATTATTTCAATTAACCATTTTCAGCCAGGTTATTTTTAGGTTGTCCCAATCAGCGAATGCACTGGCCAAGAGGCAGAGCGTTAGGTGGTTCCACAATAATAAACTTCATGATACACATCAGGGGCAACAAGTTAGATTACGACAAATGGGAAGCCATGGGTAATCCTGGTTGGGGTTATAAGGACGTGTTACCTTATTTCAAGAAGCTGGAGGATGCACATCTTGAGGCAAATATTTTATTCTGTCATATAACAATTTGACGAATATTTTTTTCATAGGTACAAGATTGGGAATACCATCAAAAAGGTGGGTTCATGACTGTATCAGATATTCCATATAGAACAGAAGCTATACATGCATTTGTTAAAGCAGCACAAGAAAAGGGATACCCTTATGTTGATTATAACGGTAAAAGTCAAATGGGTGTAAGTAATTACAATCCTCATGAATAACTTCAAAATTTTACTAATAACTGTCGTAAATTTAAGGTATCCTATGTGCAAGGTAACATCAGAAGAGGTTTCAGATGTAGCGTGGAAAAAGCTTATTTAAGGCCAATACGATATAGGAAAAACCTAAAAATCTTAGTAAATTCAAGAGTAACTAAAATTCTAATAGACAAGGAGCAGAAAAAAGCTCAGGGAGTGATTTTTGTAAGGTAATCTTCTAAATATATTTTTTTTTTTATTGTGGCACAACATTAATGTTTTAAGGAAACGACAATATTACAAAGTAACAGCCACCAAAGAAGTAATTCTTTCAGCGGGCGCATTCAACTCTCCACAACTTCTAATGCTGTCTGGAATAGGCCCTAAAGATCATTTGGAGGAACTTGGAATACCTGTGGTACAGAATTTGCCAGTTGGAAAAAAAATGTACGATCATATAACATTCTTGGGTAAAATGTGCAAAACATCATTACAATATTCTAATGTGTATCATTTCAAGGCCTAAATTTCATAGTAAATAAACCAATAATTACAACCGAAAAAGTTTTCTACAACATCTCGAATATGATTGACCTTCTGCAAAACGGTAGAGGACCTTTGACAATGCTCGGAGGTGTAGAAGGACTTTTGTATTTCAAAACGCAGATTTCAAAGTAAAGAAAGTGACATTTTAGAGGTATAAATGCTACATGTATGTTTTTTTAGAGAAAAAGCAAATTATCCAGACATGGAAGTTATTTTTATAGGCAGTAATCTGGCAGCAGATAGAGGTGCTGCGTTTAAAGATACCTTAAGTGTGAGCGATGAGCTATACAATGCGTATTGGAAGGATATTGAGCAAATACCATTTTTCCAGGTGAAAAAATCTTGTTTAGTTTTGTGTTATAGTAAATTATAACTTTTTTTTCTAGATATTTCCAATGTTGATTCATCCAAAATCTCACGGATATCTAAAATTGAAGTCTAGTAACCCGTTCCACTGGCCTAAGTTTTATCCACAATATTTCACAGACAAGTACAATGAAGATATTAAAACGTTTATAGCGTCAATAAGGAAAATTATTGAAATTACTAAAATGCCTGCTCTACAAAAATATGGATCGAGACTGTACGACAAACCAATGCCAGGTAACTAGACCAATGACATCTTAGCACAGATAGAAACCGCATCTCATTCATAAACTGATGTTTGTTGTGAGAAGACCCCCCATGGACCAGGAGAAGTGAGCTGCTCGAGGGGGTTTATGGTGGGGATGTATCAGAGGTGTAAATAAGACCCGCCCTCTTCTAATTCACTTGACCAAAATGCGCACGCGTGCAACTCGTTTATCTATCTATCTGCCACTAACTCATAATATGATATACGTTCGATGGGCGCGTTGACATGCCAATCGATTGATTTTTTTGTTTTGTTAAGAACTGGTTTATCAGTGGACAGCTATCTAGTTTAGCTGTGATGATTATTGGTTAATCAACAGCTAAACTATATAACCGTTCACTGATAAACCGGTCCTAAGTGTAATGTCTATCTGTGTTAATTTGTCATTGGTCCAGACCAAATGAGCGATCGTAAGATCATAATATTCTATTCACCAGATATTGTTATGTTGATTTTTGCATCAACAACATGAAGTGAGGAAGTATTGTAGGCTAATGTTAAAATTCCCTATTGCTAAGAGGCGTTAGCCTCTCAATTTAATTTGCTGCTGAAGCCTACAGCTCGCTTCCAACGAATAGTAAAGCGCTTTTGCTTAATGTAAGAAGTACCTATGTTTTTTAGACAAGTTCATTCTACTTATCATGTGTTTTCATCAAATGCTAACCATAACAAATGATCAAATTTTAGGTTGTGAGAGATACATTTTCAATTCAGACCCGTATTGGGAATGTGCCCTTCGCACCATCACTCCCACTCTACATCACCAAGTGTCCACCTGTAAAATGGGTCCAGCAACAGACCCAGAAGCTGTGGTAGACCACAAACTAAGACTACACGGCATTAAAAACTTAAGGGTGGCGGATACTAGTATTATTCCTCTGCCTTTGAGTGCCCACACGAATATACCGGCCATAATGATTGGAGAGAAGACTGCTGATATTATCAAAGAAGACTGGTATTTAGAAGAGCTAGCAAATAATATTGACGTTAGGAAAATTAAATTTAAATAAAGGTTATAATTGACTATAATAAAATCATTATTTGTCTACTCCCAAATATCTTTGATCCCTAGGTTTTTTCTTCATTTTTTGGTTGCCTAATCAGAATACCTTTTTAAATCATCTGTCATGAATGTTAGAGTTATTTTGTGGAATAAAGCCAGAATAAAGTTTTACTATTAGAAATAAACTAAAGATTTTATTAATAACAAAACATTCTACCATGAAGATTACAACAACATTGCTATATCGATAACCTCACTTTGTTGACGTAACTAACATCCAACAGATATGGTTGTGACTATTGATACTACTAGAGCAGGCGTGGCTAAACGAACACTTATCCTACCACTCCGCCTCGATTTACAAATTTAACTTAAAATTGTACATCGCAAAATATCAGCTCTCTATGTTTACAAAAACGAACTTACAACACTAGAAAACTAATATCTAAAGAATTTAACATTTTTCAATTTTAATTAAAAAACAAATATTATTGAATTTTTCCTTACACAAGGGTTTTGTCAAAATGTCAGCAATATTATTTTCACTGTTAACATACTGCACATCTAAGACTCTCTTTAACAACAAATCTTTGATAAAATGTTCTTTAATGTCAATGTGTTTTCCGCGTTTCGAATTTACATAACTCTTTGCCATCGAAATCGCGCTCACATTGTCCATTTTTAGCGTTATATTTTCAATTTTGCAAAATTCCGAAATTATCCCTTTCAAGTTCACTACTTCTTGTGCTGAAGCCGCCCCTGTCACGTATTCTGCCTCTGCGGTAGACAGCGCCACACATGTTTGCTTCTTAGAAAACCAGCTGATTGGATTCCCAGCATACAGTACTATAGAGCCACTTGTACTCTTTATGTCGGTCTTGTCTCCAGTCCAATCTGAGTCGGAATATGCTACTAAGTTTTCTGCACCCCTCGTATACATCAATCCAGTATCAACAGTATTTTTCAAATACCTCAGGATTTTTTTGCCTGCAGTCCACAACACTTGAGTTGGTTTGTCCAAATATCAACTAAGATAGGACACCGCATACAAAATATCCGGTCTGGAAGTGCATGCCAAGTAAATCAGCGATCCAACTAACTTTCTGTATGGGACATCAATGATTTCTTCGGATTTTTCAACTTGAAAACCTGTTATCATAGGTGTTGACACTCCTTTACAGTCTGCCATACCAAAATCTTGTAGAATTTTATTAATATACTTTTTCTCAAGTGATACTCATGTTTTCAGAAGTTCTTGATATCTCCATTCCAATGAATCTTCTAATTTCACCCAAATATTTGGCATTGAGTTTGTTTTTCAAATTATTAACTACATCCATCCTGTACTTTATTTTTGTCTCCTGTGATAATTAAATCATCTACAAAAACAATAAGCCACACATCTTTCTTTTTATAAAGACAGAAATCATACTGAGATCTTTCAAAGTCTAAATCTTTCATTATCTCATTAAATTGGTTATTCCAACACTTTGGACTCTCCTTCAGCCCATACAGAGCTCTGTTGAGCTTCAAAACTTTGTTTTTGTCTTCATTTACGCCGTCTGGTATTTTTATGTATACTTCAGATTCAAGTTTTCCATTCAGAAAAGCACTTGGAATGTCAAGTTGACGTACATTCCAATTCTGTTGTAGAGCATGTACTAGAAATGCTCTAATCGTTGACAATCTGGCAACTGGTGCATAAAATCTGTTTTTTTTTAAAGATAAAAGTCAAAATGACATTGTGTTGGCAATACAATGTAAAATTGTCAAAGCTTTCAAATTTTTTATGTAGAAAAGGCTTGTGTTGCCAACATAGTTACTAAATTTTTGACTTGGGGAATTATCTTTAAAAAAAAAACATACTTTACATAGGTGTAAAATCATTCTCCTCCTGAATCTGGAAGCCCTTGGCTACTAATCGAGCCTTCTTTGTACCATCTTCCTTTGTTCGGAAGACCCATCTTGTATCAATTGCGTATTTATTTTCAGGAAGTTTAGACAAAGTCCAAGTTTGTAGATTGCTAAGAGACTTCAATTCATAGCATCTTGCCATTCAGAACTTTTCTGAGCTTCTGAAAATGTTTGAGGATCCTCCTGTAATTCTGTAACATCTAAATATGTAGCATATATCTCATAATTTTGAAGATACTGAGGTTTATGTACCTCTCTACCAGTTCTTGTTAGAACAGGCTCTGCATCAGCTATCTCCTCCTCAATTTTTATTTGTACATCTTCAAAGTCACTGCTGTCTTCATTTTGAACAGAACCAAACTGAGAACTTTCATCAAAACTATTTTCTTCATTTTGTTCTCCATTCTCTTTAATTTCTACTGGCCATACAATTGTTTTGTCTTCTTTTATCTCTGTATTTCTTTCTTTGGTATTTTTCTCTATCTCTTTTCCTTCAAAAAACACAACATCTCTACTAAAAATAATTTTCTTAGTATTTGGATTAATCAGTCTGTATCCTTTTTTATTTTCTCCATAACCCATAAATAGCAACTTCTGTGATTTAGGATCCCATTTCTTCCTCAACTCATCTGGCACATGTGCCATAGCTTCACAACCAAAAATTTTCAGCTCTGATGAGTTGGGTTTTTCCTTATCCAGACTTCATAGGGAGTTTTCCCAAGTACTGCTTTTGTTGGTGATCTATTTATGAGATAGACTGCAGTGTTAACTGCTTCGCCCCAATATTCTTTCGACAAACCAGCATCAGACAACATACTACAAGCTCTCTCACAAATTGTCCTATTCGCCCTCTCACTAACCCCATTTTGTTGCGGAGTGTATCGAACAGTTGTCTGGTGTATAATACCAGAGTCATCAAATACCTTCTTGAATTTCCTATTCACATATTCAGTACCATTGTCAGTTCTGAGCATTTTTATTTTAGAGTCAGCCTGTTTCTCAACAAGTTGCTTAAATTGTTGAAAAACTTCAACTACTTGACTTTTTTCTGATAGCAAATATGTAAATATAAATCTTGAAAAATCATCAATTAGAGTGAAAATGTACTTACAGCCGCCTATTGATGCTACTTCCATTGGCCCACAGAGGTCGCTGTGAACCAACTGTAGAATCTTACTTGACTTTCTCATGCTGCAATAGAATGGCTTTCGACTATGTCTGCCTTCGACACAGGAAATACACGGCTCTGAAGATATATTTATTTTGTTCAAACCAGTAGACATACTTGCCAGCAACTGCATTGCCTTTCTATTCAAGTGGCCAAGTCTTCTGTGCCATAAATCACTTCACTTCACTTACACAAGAATACATTGGTAGACTTCCATTTTGACAGACATTGGTATTGGTACTTAACTGATAAATACCATTTTGCTCAAACCCTGTTGCAACAACTTGGTTCGACATGTCAATAATCCTTGCTCCAGACTTGTCAAAAATGACCTTGTGCCCTTTTCGCACAATTTTGCTGATCGACAACAAATTTACTGCTGCTTCAGGAACATACATAACCTCATTTGCAGGAACCACCTTATCTTGACCATTTATTTTCACACTGATGTCCAATGTCCCTTTCGATACAATGTTTATGTCACTATTACTTGCAGTCTTAATTTTGCCACTGTTTTTGGTAGAATTCATTAACCAGTTATTATTTTTAGTCAAATGGGCAGAGGCACAAGAGTCTAAGAACCATGCATCACTGTTTACTTGCTGTGAAGATAAACATGCTAGAAAGCTGTGTTGTTACTTTTCTTTCTTTCACCCTGATTACCTTGTGAGTTGCCTGCTCTACATTGAGACTTATAGTGACCCATTTTGCCACATCCGAGGCACTTCACTTTGTTTCTTCTGAACTTTTTACCTGAACCTCTTTCTGAGTACATTGCTGCATTCGAGCCAGCTGATTTTGGATCAGAACTTGATTTAACATCTTGCAGCAACTTCACTTTAATTGAATCACCTGTAATCTGTGTTCCACTACTCTCAAAACCCATTATCATTGGCCTGTATTCTTCCGGCAACTCTGCCAGCAAGAGAGTGCCGACCCACTCATCGTCCACTTTGAAATTCATTGCATTTAACTTATGTGATGTTGAAATGATGGTGTCACAATATTCTTCTACTGTACTACAGTCTTCTAACTTGGTAGTTACTAAAGCCCTTAAAAGACCAACCTTTCTTGTTGGTCCGGAATCTTCAAAAGCTTTTTCTAAGTTTTGCCAAGCATCTTTAGGTTTTGCAGCAGTCTTCAAATGGGAATAATTTAACTTATCCACAGACAAGATTATTTTAGAAAGTGCTTTCTTGCTTGCTTGTCTTTCTTCTCATCCACTTCGGTACCTTCGACAACTTTCCACAAGTCATCTAATTCTAAAAGTGCCTTCATAGCGAACTTCCACTCGCTATAATTGTCCCGACCAGTCAATTTACCAATCGACACAAATGATGATGAACTGCTTGCCATTTTCTTTTGAGTGTTAGTACAAAACAAAACTTTTAATTTACACACTGACTTTTGGCATATCTGGGCCCATAACCTGTTAGAGTTATTTTGTGGAATAAAGCCAGAATGAAGACTATTAGAAATAAACTAAAGATTTTATTAATAACAAAACATTCTACCATGAAGATTACAACAACATTGCTATATTGATAACCTCACTTTGTTGACGTTACTAACATCTGACAGATATGGTTGTGACTATTGATACTACTAGAGAAGGCGTGGCTAAACGAACACTTATCTTAACAATGAATCCTATAAGCTATATTATGATTGAATCCCTGAATGAAAGATGAAAGCGATTTTATCATGTGAATTCTTTCATTATTGTCAAATGGCAGTTTTTGATGGTTCTTTGACTTTTGACGAAAAAGAGAGCAAGAACATGATTCCTAATATCTTCCTGGATGTCAACTGCCAAGAGGCAATGAAAGTCTTTATTCAGAAAAGTAAGTGTTCCCAAAAAGGGACTCTACTTAATACCATGACGCTCCAAACATAATAGTGATCTAGTATACTAATGCTGCTATTATGAACATGAACTTATAGTCGTAATCTGGGGCGCACGGTCGGATTTTCGACTGCTGAAATACAACATAAGAGGGATTTCTGATACGAGCTCTTTTTCCCCAATGGAAAGATTTTCACCGCGTCAAATGTTGATATCTGAAGCATAAGCTCCGTCACCATTATTGTTTTAGACAACATACTTAAGTATTGGTATCTGCCTCAAGTTTCCAGTCACAATGATGATATATATCAAATACGTTTCAAATAAACAAATAGCTAATTAAATAATAATAACGTGGTTTCATGTTAATTAGTTTAAATTAGAACAAAGCCTAAAGCAATATCATCTGAACAATAGAGGTTAACTAAAGGAGAGAGCAATTAATGTAAATTATATCCATGACTTGCCTAATGCGAAAATCACTTTTTTCGGTGAAATATTGCTTCAAAAAAATTATTTGTAAAAATTTATCAAATATCGTTAGGGCCCTAGAGAAAAGCAAATTTGTCTTCTTTGTCAGTATAATGACGTCAGTGGTTTCTTCTTACTATACCGAATACCTACACATCAAATTTTAGAAGTTTAGAAATGAAAAAAGTCGTTGGTAAAATGACAAAAATTATAAACTGGAAGTCGAAATTTTTCTCTTACAAAGAGTTTAAAATAGGTTTCCTAAACTGAAAACTATAACTTTGCTTTACATTTTCCCGAGCATTTTCCTTATAGAAGATGATATGAAAACTCCAGATAATCGACAAATGAATGATGAAAATATTAATTAACTAAATATTAAATAAAGAAAAATCGACCCGGAAATTTTTACACAAAATCCTTCCATTGTCTACGTTCGTTAACTCTTATCATTGCATTACTGTTTTTCCAAAAAGAATTGAGAAACATTCATACAATATAAACATCAAGTTCACTAAATTTTTCTGAATCAAAATTATACATGCACACAAGTTGTCCGATAATATAGTGAAAAAGTAGGGAATCAAAACTAAGCGGACAGTGATAAAAGTAGATCGATTTAGCGTTTGTTTGAAGTGAGCTGACAACAATGCGACTGAAATATACCTATTTATTTAGAAGAAGATTGTGTTAACATAATATTTTTAATTCAGAAGGGGTGTACTGAAAATGAAGTTTTGAATGAAAGTGTTTATTTTTTTCTAAGGTAAGATATATTTATATGTACTTACACATACATTAGGTATTATAATATAAGTACAACCCCTTAAGTAGGTAGCTATGTATTTTGATTGGAAGAATTGCGTTCAAAATTTGGTTTTCTTCCATGATTATCAACAACCTAATTTTTGCAGGTCAATGCACCACAAAAATCATTAAAGAATTGATTGATGATCATCATTTAGAATTAGAATAGGGAATGTTTATCATATAGGTATGCATTTTTATATGTATCAGTTAGGAACTTTTTGAAAATCTTTTCAACAAAAATGTATCATGATTAACGTGCGAAATCTTTAAATTTCAGTTTTCAGCATCTGAAATTACACTCGAAAATTAGAGTACAGTGAAAATTCAAAATGAGATTATTCGCCAAGAAGTGAATGCTTGTTCTAAAAAAAAAAAAAAATTGTAACTTGACCCAAAGATGGTTGCATAGCGAATGAACCAGATGTTAATGTAATGTTCGTTCATTGACTAACACTAATTAAAAAATCGAAAAATAAACCATCAATTAAAACGAACGAAAACTTTTACGGGCGGTTTCACTTTCATAAACCTGACTAACAAAAGATTATCATAATTCACTGTAATAATTAATTGTCTACAAGATTTTATTTAGCAATCTCTAATCGTATTGGTCTGCAGATAACTGGCCGACCAATAGAATTATAGTAAATTTATCTTACAGATAGTTATTAGCAAGTTTATCTGAAGATGCATAAACCGGGCATAAGTTTTTCAAATGTTTTTCTCTTTCCAGAGGAAACATGTATCCCAAATCATTCCTATTACTTTCAATAGCCTTTACTTTAATCGCAAAAAGTGATGGAGGGCCACAAGTTGTTAATGGTTTGATAACCCTATTGGTTGGAATCGGTAACGAGCTCAACAGGATATTCGGAATTTTTAGAGGCAGACCGGACTTCAACACATGGTACGTTACAAATACGTGGAAATTGAAAGAAGTTGCAGGTCAGTCAAAGACTAGCAATTTTAATATTGACTGAGGATTATTCTTTTTTTTTAGAAGATGAATATGATTTTATAATAGTGGGTTCTGGATCAGCTGGATCTGTCCTGGCCAATAGATTATCAGAAGAGAAGAAATGGAAAATTCTTATATTGGAAATAGGTGGTCCAGAAACGGCATTTATGGGCGTACCCATTGTGAGTCAGCTTAATTAAAAACAAAACCTATGCACTCATGTGGGTTTCACCTACTAAACTAAATATGATTATATAAATCATAAAAGATTTTATAACAATCTACTTTCTACAGTTGCGAATTGTCTTAGTCATGTAGTAAAATAATTGACATTATGTATTTCGAAATTGAAAAATATATTAAGGCAAAACAGAATAAGAAACAAACAATAAATCAATTTTGCCGAATTTCAGCTAGCTCCAGCTTTTCAAATGACCCAATACAACTGGAGATACTTTATGGAACTCCAAAATGGTCTTTTCTATGGTCTTAATGATGCCAAAATGCATTGGCCCAGAGGTAGAGCTTTAGGAGGCTCAAGTGTCATCAATTACATGATTTATACTAGAGGCAATAAGTGGGACTATGATCGATGGGCTGCTAATGGAAATCCAGGTAAAAAGGCATCACATAATCGCTACTAGCAAACAAAAATTAATACTTTTTTCAGGCTGGTCCTATAAAGAAGTCCTGCCGTACTTTATAAAATCAGAAAACGGCACTAATCTTCAAGATATTGTCTCTGAAGTTCACGGTACAAAGGGTCCACTATCTGTTGAGAACATTTACGGAGCACAGCTATTAGATGCATTTCTTGAAGCTGGACCAATGGTCAATTTGCCTGTTATTGACTATAACGCCAATAAGGAATCAGTGGGTGTTGGCCGCATGCAAGCAACCGTCAAAAAAGGTATAATTTTCAATCAACAATTCATTGAACCTTAATCTAACAATATTTGAAGGCCGTAGATTTAGTGCGGCAACAGCTTACCTATGGCCAGTCAGGAATCGGCCTAATTTGGATATTATAATTAAAGCCTACGTTACCAAACTACTTATAAATACTACAACTAAAACAGCTTATGGTGTTCAATATACCAAAAATGGCAGAACGTATACATCCAAAGCTACAAAAGAAGTTATTTTGTCAGCTGGTAAGAAACTAATTCTATATTTTCTCAAACTAACAATGATCGATTTAGGTACTTTCAATTCGCCACAGCTATTGATGTTAGCAGGAATAGGGCCAAAAAAGCATTTGGAAAACTTAGGAATTAAAGTTTTAAAAGATTTACCTGTAGGTCAGAATTTGCACGATCATTTGACATTCCCAGGACTATCTTTTCTGATAGATCAACCTATCGATTTATCTCCTGAAATATTTTTACCAAGAATAGACGAGTATTTAAAAAAAGGTAAGCAATATTTTGTAACTGGTGAAAAAAAATCTATTTTTTTTTATATAGGAACTGGTCCTTTGACATCTTTATCAGGCCCAGAAGGTATAGGATACGTTAAAACCGCCTTGGCTGATTACAAAGAAGACTATCCTGATATTGAGTTGATCTTTGTTGATGGCACTTTGGCTAGTGACTTAGGATTATTTACTTACAGAGGTGAGTGGGAATTGGACTTTCGCTTAAAATACAAAATACTTTGCAGGTATGAACATCAGGGATGATGTATTCAACAGTGTATTTTCACCTTTGTTGAACTTTCATGCATGGACGATATTTCCTATGCTTCTACATCCTAAATCAATAGGTAAAATTATTATTCAAACTCAAACTCGTTTTATCAATATTTGATTTTTAGGCCATATGGAGCTACGTTCAAAAAACCCCTACGATTATCCACGATTTTATGGCAACTTTTTCTCAGACCCCAACGATCATGATTTAGACACTTTTGTGGAATCCATTAGAGTTATCCAAAGATTCTCGAACACTACAGCTTTCCAAAAATACGCATCGAAACTAAATCCTAAACCAATGAAGGGTTGTGGTCACTTAACCTTTGATAGCGACAGCTATTGGAAATGTTGCATAAAGTAAATATATTTTGAGAAGACTATTGAAAAACTATTGAAACTGTATTTTTTAGAGCCATTGCAGTTACACTGCACCATCAAGTCGGTACAGTCAAAATGGGCCCCAAAGGAGATCCGACGGCAGTGGTCAACCCAAATCTTCAAGTGTACGGCATTCAAAATTTGAGAGTAGCAGATTGTAGTATAATTCCCATGGCTTTAGGAGCTCATACTAATGCCCCGTCAATGATGGTGGGTGAAAAAGCTAGTGACATTATCAAAGAATTTTGGACCTAATGTAATATAACAACTAAGTTGTAGAAATAATGTTTTTTCTTTTATATTTGGTTCTCAATATACTATTCTGGTGCAGATATTTTAAAGGAACATTGGTATGACCAGTAGAAAAGTGTGTGAAATGAGTAGAATAATGAATGACAAAAAAATAATACCCATGTAACAACCTCCAGCAATAATGGGCTTATGTAGTCAATGTAGGGATTTTTTGACTGCCAGTTCTCCGTTCGGAAAAATATGAACATGGACTCCAGAATATTTAAATAGAAATTGGTTATAATGGTTACATTTGGGTATACATTTTTTACAATAGGCAGAATCTTGTATAAAAAATATATATGACAGGTGATGCAGTGAAACTCCACCTGGGGTGACAAACGGGTGACTTGAGTAGCTCAGGAATCATTCTTGCCGGTTCTAAGCCCCAATAAAGGAGGAAGGTCAAGGTAAAGCTGACAACCTGCTCACTCCGGAAAAACATTCTTGACGCAAAAATGCATAGAATTTTATACAACGAAAAAATACGGGGAGGAAGAAGTTCAGTGTTGCCTTCATTGTAAAAAACAAAATTAAAAACAACATACTGGATTTCAAGATGATAAATGAGAGGATGTGCAACCTAAGGTTAAAATCCAGGTTCCTCAGCATATTTATCATCAATGCCAATAGCCCAACAGAACAACAGAGGAAGTGGATAAAAAAAGCATCCTATGACCAACTGGATGAGGCATACTCTAGGGCTTCGCAAAATCAAGACCAAGACTGGCCAGTCTTGGTCTTGGTCTTGGTCTCGAAAAATAAATGCAGTCTTGGTCTTGGTCCTGATGTTTCAAGACCAAGACAAGACTGGCTCAGTCTTGATCTTGGTCTTGATAGTCTTGGTCTTGATAGTCTTGAATAAAATTTATACCAAATTTTGAAAATAGACAATACATGTAACGACAGAGCAGAGATGATGGGTTAAGGACATCAAAAATAAAAAATAAAACTCCCATTCTGTACCTTACCTACCTGAGGATTCAGGCCAGACGTAGGTTTCCGAGAACCCTCACATAGTCACATAGCTCATTTGAATTTTATTGGCCTATTTACAATAATAAGATTTGAGTTAGTTTGGGTGAGATGTGGGGTTTGTGTACCTAAATAATAATTATCTTTGGAAATTCCAATACTTGGGTATTGTATTATGTAGGGGTAGGAAAATATTGAAAAATAATTAATTTGATGAATTGATTTAATTGAAATACATTAAAAGTAGATATAGGAATTTGCATATTTTTATAAATATTGAGTTGATTTTTATTTTCAAAACCAAGACCAAGACGAGAGTCTCGAGAAATAGTCTTGGTCTTGGTCTTGACCGTCAAGTCTTAGTCTTGGTCTTGAGAAAATTTATAAGGTCTTAGTCTTGGTCTTGATCTTGCTACCAAGACCAAGACTAGTCTTGTGGTCTCGCAAAGCCCTAAGGCATACGAAAACTGCTTAAGAATGCCCAAATTAGACCGAGAGGAACAGTTTCTGGGAACCACTGGCAAACACTCACTCCATGAAAGAACCAACCAGAATGGAGAATTTGTAATCAATTTTGCCAGCAGGAAGTATCTATTAAGGGGTCTAAAATGTTGGGTTTTGTTATTAAGGATTGTAAATATTTTTCAGTTGATGCCACTAAAATGGTAAGATCATCCTTAGTATTGTTCAGTGGTGTGATCGCAATTTTTTCAGGTGCAGAGGGATTCCTTAGAAAGAATTCAACATACATTTTTGCGTGTTTGTGCCTACAAAGGTGGTTTTAAGTTGACAGACCATGTTTATGGGACAATTGGACAGAAATTATCTCCTTTGAGCCAACGCATAGATATGCTTGGAGCGATTTTTATATACAAAATCATTAGTGGGGTGTCTGTCTGTCTTAGCCTTTTGAGTCAAATTGATCTAAATGTGCCTTATTATCATAGTTTGCGTCACCAATATTGTTTCAATATTCCTTTCCATAGAACCAGCTATGGCCCTTTAAATAGATATTTATTTTTAATAAATAATTAAAATGTATATTATGTATTTAATATTTCGGTGGTTAAATTGAGGAAAGCTCTACAAGTGTAATCTTTTGTCTACCACACTGGAAGGGTAAGGCAAGGATAGAGAGCTTTTAAAGTTCAAGGGTAATATTCGGGGGTACGGTGATACTCTTTTTGTTAATATTTGTGATATAAATATATAGGTTGTAGCACGTTGTAGTATAACATAACCAGGTTCGCTCAGCAAGATCGAAAGGAGTGAATTTTCAATACCTTTTAAACAACAAATCTTCTGAAAAACGAAATGAAAAACAAATAGGACCTACGTTGTGGAAACTCACTCAATTTTACTTACTGGACATGCGCCTAACATAGCAAATATTTGGGAAATTTAAAGGAAGCTGTGATATGTGAAAGAAACGAAAAATTTGTGAAACGTCTACTTCATTATTAAAATAAATCGTACCGTTCTCATCCTGGAACTAACAAGGGGAAAGAGCACGGCAGAGAAACCCTCGATCTAACATTCCTCAAAAACCGAAACATACTGTGTCATTTTAATAATAATTTTGAGTCATTAATTCAATAAAAGTTGAAACTAGGTACCGCCCCTGTTCTTGTGCTAAATTACACACACTACATTCAATCAACACTACCTATAATCAATACTGAAGCGTTTTTGGTTAGTTAGCCGGTCTGCCGGAGGGTACTGAGGTCCCATACGGGATGCTACCCAGCTATAGTTGTTATTTTGAGCCAATATCTATTTCCTTTGTTTGGTAGGATATTCGCTCGTCAGGGTAGGAAAATGTTAGTAAATTCAACAAGGCCCTAATGCACGTTCTGAATCCAAAAATGGAAATCCTAGCACAAAAAGACAGCACATAATTTTTCTAGGTTTTAATTTACTCTTTATCTGTGTTGTTTACAGCAGTAAACGATTTTAGTTAAATATATGAACAATGCACATAATATTTTAAAAAATGTTATAAATGAACAAAAAAACATAAAAATGGGAAAAAAATACCTAATACTTGTATAAATTGAACTCTTTAAAAGAAAATAACAATTATTTAACTGACCTGTGATCGCTCCTTGACACATACACTAATCACAAACTGGACTGAACAATTGGTTCAATACAAAATAAAAATTGAAAAAATGAACAATGGCGGACAAACGGTCTAAGGGACCAGCCCAGAGCCTCGCTACTTCTCTAGTCTAGTCGCTTCTTGCTTCTACCTACCCTTCGTACGCTGTTTTTCTGTGGTGCTTCTAGGTTCGTCCCTACTTGACGGCGCATAACATGGTTGCAACATTTACTTTTATTCAGTAAACGTTTTTTTGAAAAAGTTAACATTCAAAGAAATAATATTTTAAATAAGTGGTTTTCCTCAATGTGATAAATTTTTTGAGCTCAAACCCGGAGACATCTGCGCGGAAATAATCTCTTCTTCGGTTCTAGTTGTTTATTCCGCGCGCTCACTACCAGTTATTCGGTGTTTATAATATGAAAGCGTAACTGCTAAGAGATAAGGGGCATGAAAAGTCCGTATTCAGAAAAGTCAGATAACTCCTTGTGCCCAAACATTTATGGTTTAGCGCCCTAGTAAAACGAACCGATTGTTCTATCGCAATGTAGGGGGCGATGTGTGACGACCAATTCCCTAGGAAGTGGAATTTTATTCCATGAACTACCACAATATTCGTATGTGGCACAAATCCTCAAATCATCCTAGAGGGATTTCCGAAAGTTGAATATCGGCAACAAGCCAAGACTGTGGTTGTTTCCCTAACTTATTCCAACATGATGAGGCACCACCTCATTGGTCAAGTGTTGATATCTGGAGGAAAAACTCCCTCATCATTACTGTTATAGACAACATACTAATTCTATCCGCCTCAAGTTTCCAGTTTCCATGAGTCAAAATAATGATAATAAATACGTTTAAAATAAACAAATAGTAAATAATATAATAACGTGATTTCATATTAATTAGTCTAAATTAAAACAAAGCCTAAAGCTATATCATCTGATCGATAGAGGTTAACCAAAGGAGAAAACAATTAATGTAAATTATATCCATGATTTGACTAATGTATAGGAAAATCACCCTTCTCGATGACATATTGCTTCAAAAAAATTATGTTCAAGCATCGTTAGGCGTATATAAATTTTAAAGCTAAGCGATATTTTGACCATAGGAAAGTAATTTCAGGAAGGTACTTCATTTAAGTGCCTATAACAATAAATAATACATATAGAAAAAAATGAAACGTAGAACAATTAAAATATTTAATGGCATAACAATGGTTTCAATTACTTAGATAATAATACTTGCATTCTATTTATATCTGTAAGTTGTTATTATAATTTATGTACCTATGTAAAATGGGGAGGACATCCAATTAAGTGGTATCTAGTTATGATAAATCATCTTCGCGTCAAGGCGTTGATGCACTAACAGAAATGTTTGATGAAAGTTGCAAAACAATTACCCAAAATCAGAAGAATTAATTATTAGGCAAATAATAGAACTTGGCAGAAAACGCGTTATTTTATTTTCTATCATGATATTATGAATCATCTGGGACAACGGAGATTAGTGCACTTGTGCATTATTTTGACAGTTGACTTTTAAAGCATTGTGTATCTGTCAGCTGTCATAGAAAGTGCAATTAGTGGAACGTGAAACAAATAGATAGTCAAAAACAGTTCAGTGTTTTGAAGTGAGCTGACAACACTGCCACTGAAATATACCTATTTATTCAAAAGAAAATTGTGTTAACATAATATTTTTGGTTCACAAGGGGTGGACTGAGAATGAAGTTTTGAATGAAAGTGTTTTTGTTTTTTTTTTTTGAAGTGAGATATCTACCTATAATAATTGTAATATTTATATCTAAGTAGGTACCTTGGTACCTATATTATACAACCTCTCCAGAATGTAAGTATTTTATTTGGAAGGATTAAGTTCGAAATTTGGTTTTCTTTTTTTCTTTGAGTTAAAAAATCTTAATTTTTACCGGTACATGCAGCACATTAATAAAAAATTGAATAACAAAAAAAAAATGCTTGATGATTATTCATTAGAATTAGAAACAAGCACCCCAAGAGGGAATGTTTATCATATGCATAATAATTTTTTTTACCTATCTTCTCCTAAGCAATTTCAACTCTGTTTTAAGTTGCCTAATTTATGTGTTTGTGTAAAATATATCAATTTTTAGATAATTTTTTTTTATGAAACCTTAAGCACAATAAAGGTATATTTAACACATACACTTTGTTATTTCTACAACTGCTGACCTGTATCGAAATTACACAGAAGTTTTCAGAAAATACTCTCGTTTTCAATAGTTTCATCACATTTTTCAACATAGATGTACAGGGTGTTTCTTTATATATTGACACCCCACTAACAGCCTTTACCTTTACAGGTAGATGAAAGGTGTAAATAAAAAAGTTATCCAGTATTGGCTTAGAATCCATGGTCAGAAACAAAAATTGAATGTCAGAAATGTGAAATGTTGCATGCTTTCAGCTTTCTCCAAATGGAATGCCCAATATTTGGTTCTACATATATTCTTGAAGAGAACAATTTCCAGATTCCAAAACTATATAGTTTGTCTATATTTGGTTGAGCGGCCTCCAACATATTTGGTTCTAAAAATTTTAAAAATACTATCAGAAAAACCAAGAATATGGTTTCTAAAAATTCAACAAAAACTGTACAACTTTTGTATTTACACCTTTCTTCTACCTGTAAAGGTAAAGGCTGTAGGTGGGGTGTTAATATATAAAAAAACACCCTATACAAATAAGTGGATTATTGCGGAACTTATGGATGGACCTCTGCGGGACGAGCGCAGCGAGTTCCGCAGCCATCTATTCACCAATATGTTGTTCAAGTACGATACTAACCTGACTCACTCAAATGTCAGTTATTCTCATTAGTTCAAAAACTACACGTTTCAGGTGAGTGTCTTATTTGAATAGTTCAACAGTATATATTGGTAAATAGATGGCTGCGGAACTCGCTGCGCTCGTCCCGCAGAGGTCCACCCATAAGTTCCGCAATAATCGACTTATTTGTAATTGAACAATAACTTATTATATAAAGTCAAAATTTGTAAGATTCTCCACTTTTTGTCAATTTGCCTTTTAACAGGAATTAATAATGTTATTTTACCAAACTAGTAACATAATGTGATAAGTTATTCAAGTACAAACGAGTGGATTGTTGCGGAATTTATGGGTGGACCTCTGCGGGACGAGCGTAGCGAGTTCCTCAGTTATCTATTCACCAATATGTTGTTCAAATACAATACTAACTCGATTCTCTCAGTTGTGAGTTTTTCTCATTAGTTCAAAAACTACATTTAGATCAATGTCTTACTTGAACAATTTCACAGTATATTGGTGAGTAGATGGCTGCGGAACTCGCTGCGCTCGTCCCGCAGAGGTCCACCCATAAGTTCCGCAATAATCCACTTATTTGTACAGGGTGTGTTTTTATATATCAACACCACACCTACAGCCTTTACAGGTAGAAGAAAGGTGTAAATACAAGAATTGTACAGTATTGATTGAATTTTTAGAAACCATGGTCAGAAACAAAATTTGAATGTCAGAAATGTGAAGTTTTGCATGCTTCCAACTTTTTTCAAATGGGATGCCTTATATTTTATTCTATATTCTTGAAGAGCACAATGCCCCGATTCCAAAACTATATAGTTTGTCTATATTCGGTTGAGCCGTCTCCAACATATTTGGTTTTAAAAATTTCAAAAATACTATCAGAGAAACCAAGTACCTCAACTTTTACTTGCAGCTTTCACCTGTACAGGTAAAATGGTTAACAAAATCAGGAGTAGGGTATTTTTACAATTTTTGGAGCCGAATATATGAGAGACTGTTCAATCAATTATAAACAAACTATATATTTTTGGAATCGGGGCATTGTGCTCTTTAAGAATATAGAATGAGATATGAGCCATCTCATTTGGAAAAAGCTGGAAACATTTAAAATTTCACATTTCTGACATTCACATGTACATGCACTTATAATTCAATATAGAAATTGGAAATACATATAGGTAGCAAACACTTATTCTCACTTGGAAACTTTCTAAGAAATTTTTCAACAAAAACGTATTAGATGTAATTAATCTGCAAAATTTTCAACTTTCAATTTTCTCCTTTCAGTTTTCAGCATAAAAAAATAATTATCTGAAATGATACATAAAAATCTGAACACATATTACGTTCCATCCAAGTCACAAAATTTGATAAACAAAAAATAACAAGTTGCCGCCACATACTCTTTATATAGAATGATAAACAATTTGGCTGTTCCTTAAGGAGATTAAGAGGGGCGTCAGATAGGAGCCAGCGCGCCATCTTTTGAGCTTTATGACATACATTAAATATTTTTAAGTATTAAATATTAGTAAGTGATTGACTTATTTACAAGTAGACGGCGACATCTTCAATATCCATTCGTTTACACAGTAATATACAGTGGACTAAATAATTTTATTCAGATGCAGATGAAATAATAGTATTTCACATGATTAGCTAGGTGAAACAGTTTTTACTGGCGTTTGAAAGAAGTTAATATGCTTCCTGAACTCAGCGACATCTTCAAGAGAAGCTCTGAATACACGTTTGGTTTGAGCACAGCATGTTTGAGTCTCTGCTGAAAATGACAGCAATCACCTTTTTGTTTGGCAGATTTTGATTAATTTTGGAATAAAAACACGGAAATTCTGTTCTTTTCATTTATTCCAGCATTTTATGATCCGGAATTTTGGAAAGTTATTGTTGGTGTGCTTCTCTATATGTTTATCCCTTTTTCATGTAAATCCGTGACCAAAATTTGCATACTGTTGTCAACAAAATTGGTGATAATTTTACTATTTAGACTGCGAATTTTGCAACCAAAAATGCTTCGACTTATACTCAAAACTATTATTGTTATGAACATATCTTCATTTTACTGAAAAGTGGTCTAAATTTGGAATTGAACAGAAATTTGTGAAGGTCTGTAAATGACATTTTTTTTAAACGCCCCTCTTAAGGAACAGAAAACATTCCTAAGCAGTGTCTACACTGGTATCGGAATCATTAACAAAATAAATGTTGTGCTCACCAATTAGTTATAAATATTTTACTATAGAGTTTATGGACGTATTTGTAGATATTGTTCAAGCTTATTTAAAAATGCCATACAATTTGTAACATTTCTAATAGCCAAAGGTAGAAGGTTATACTGACTTATAGCTCTGTTTAGTGGGTGAAGTGAATGCGAATTCTAAAAAAAAAATGTGTAACTTGAGCCAAGGATGGTTATAGCGAATGAACCAGATGTTAATGTAATGTTCGTTCATTGACTAATACTAATTAAAAAATCCAAAAATAAACCATCAATCAAAATGAATGAAAACATTTACAGGCGGTGTGTTTTATTCACTTTCATAAAACTGGCTAATAAAAAAATATCATTACTTTAATCAAAAAGGCAGGGTTTATTAATCTTCACTACTGATAATTGTTTTACAATACTTCACTCTGTTCCTATTATTGGTCGGCGAATAACACCAGGAACGACCAATAGAAATATAGAATGGTAAATTTATCTTGCAGATAGTTACCAGCAAATTCATCTGAAAATAAATAAACCAGGCCTTCAAGTGTTATTCCTTTTTCAGAGAAAACATGTATATCAAATCATTCCTATTACTTTTGATAACCCTTACTTTAATCGCAAAAAGTCACGGAGGGACAGAAATTGTCAATGGTTTGATATACTTACTGGTTGGAATCGGTAACGAGCTTGACAGGATATTCGAAATATTCAAAGGTAGGCCGGACTTCAACACATGGTACGTTACAAATATATGGAAACTGAAAGAAGTTGCAGGTATAATTTCTAAGTCAAAGACTTACAATCTTGATATTGACTGGAGATTATTTTTTTAGAAGATGAATATGATTTCATAATAGTAGGTTCTGGATCAGCTGGATCTGTGCTGGCCAATAGATTATCAGAAGAGAAAAATTGGAAAATTCTCATATTGGAAATAGGTGGTCCAGAAACGGCATTTATGGGCGTACCCCTCGTAAGTCAGCTTAATTAAAAACAAAACCTATGCACTCATGTGGATTTTACCAACTAAAATAAATGTGATTATATAAATCATAAAATATTTGATAACAAATAACGTTTCAGCTAGCTCCAGCCTTTCAATTCACCCAATACAACTGGAGATACTTTACGGAACTCCAAGACGGCCTTTTCTATGGTCTTAATGATGCCAGAAATCATTGGCCCAGAGGAAAAGCTTTAGGAGGCTCAAGTGTTATCAATTACATGATTTATTCTAGAGGAAATAAATGGGATTATGATCGATGGGCTGCTCTTGGAAATCCAGGTGAAAAGGCCTTATATAATCGTTACTAGCAAACATCAAAATTAATACTTTTTTCAGGCTGGTCGTATGATGAAGTCCTACCGTACTTTATAAAATCAGAAAACGGCACTAATCTTCAAGATATTGTCTCTGAAGTTCACGGTACAAAGGGTCCATTATCTGTTGAGAACATTTACGGAGCACAGCTATTAGATGCATTTCTTGAAGCTGGACCAATGTTGAATTTGCCTGTCATTGACTATAACGCAAATGAGGAATCACTGGGTGTGGGTCGCATGCAAGCAACTGTCAAAAAAGGTATAATTTTCAATTTCATTAAACCTGAACCTAACAATTTTTGAAGGCCATAGATTTAGTGCGGCCACAGCTTACCTATGGCCAGTCAGGGAGCGGCCTAATTTAGATATTATAATCAAAGCCTACGTTACCAAAGTACTTATAAATACTACAACTCAAACAGCTTATGGTGTTGAATATACTAAAAATGGCAGAACGTATACATCGAAAGCTACAAAAGAAGTTATTTTGTCAGCTGGTAAGAAACAATTCTATATTTTTTTATAGAAGCTAACAATTATCGATTCAGGTACTTTCAATTCGCCACAACTATTGATGTTAGCAGGAATTGGGCCAAAGCAACATTTGGAAAACCTAGGAATTGAAGTTTTAAAAGATTTACCTGTAGGTCAGAATTTGTACGATCATTTAACATTCCCAGGACTAACTTTCCTGATAGATCAACCTGTCGATTTATCTCCTGGATTATACTTACCAAGATTAGACGAGTATTTAAAATATGGTAAGCAATATTTTGTAATTTGGAAAAGAAAATCTATTTTTTTTTTATACAGGAACTGGTCCCTGGACATCTTTATCAGGTCCAGAGGGCTTAGGATACGTTAAAACCGCCTTGGCTGATTACACCGAAGACTATCCTGATATTGAGTTGCTTTTCATTGATGGCACTCTGGCTAGTGACTTGGGATTAGTCACTTACAGAGGTGAGTAAAAATTGCATACTAAAAATACATATTCAAAAGAAATATTTTGTAGGTATGAATATCAGGGATGATGTGTTTAAAAGTGTATTTTCACCTTTGTTGAACTTTCATGCATGGTCGATATTCCCCATACTTTTACATCCTAAATCATTGGGAGGTAAATTTATTATTCAAACTCAAACTCGTTTTATTGATATTTGATTTTTAGGCCATATGGAGCTACGTTCAAAGAACCCCTACGATTACCCACGATTTTATGGCAACTATTTCACAGACCCTAACGATCATGATTTAGAAACTTTTGTGGAATCCATAAGGATTATCCAAAGATTTTCGAACACTACAGCATTCCAAAAATACGGGTCAAGACTAAATCCTAAACCAATGAAGACATGTGGCCATTTAACCTTTGATAGCGACAGCTATTGGAAATGTTGCATTAAGTAAGTATATTTTAAAAAGTCTATTGAAAAACTAAAACTGCGTTTTTTAGATCCATTGCAGTTACCCAACACCATCAAGTCGGTACAGTCAAAATGGGCCCCGAGGGAGATCCGACAGCGGTGGTCAACCCAAATCTTCAAGTATACGGCATTAAAAATTTGAGAGTAGCAGATTGTAGTATAATTCCCATCCCCATAGGAGCTCATAGTAATGGCCCGGCAATGATGGTGGGTGAAAAAGCTAGTGACATTATCAAAGAGTTTTGGACCTAACTTGTTTTCTTTAATATTTGGTTTTCTTTATAGTACATACTTATAAAACCACATAAAATCTTTTTTAGTGCAGATATTTTGAACGAACAGCGGTATATGACTAGTAAATTTATTAATTTTTCTGTACTACAGTCCATCAAACATTGATAAACACAGATACTAAATATATACTTAAAATTTTATATTTCGATTTGACATTTTCCATTATTTGTAAGTTGAATCCCCAGCTCTCAAGATCCTTTATAAATCCCACTAATGGTTTCCCATTTGATTGATAATTATGACATGGGGCCAAGATTGAGACAATAAAATTGTAACATTTCGCCGAAGCCTAACTACCAAAGCTGAGCCTTTATTATTCTTTCAATCTAGTGCCAAGAAGTTATTGAGATTAGGCCTATAATAATTTCTCCATTTATATTTCCTAATAGACCCAACCAATCTTCGTTTCCTACATAGACCCGATCTAGATTTCCTACATAAGTGCTTTCGACATTTCCTATACACAGGACTGCCAATTGCTCTATCTTGGACATAAATTTCAGCAATGGTTTAGGCGCACATTATATGGATGACATACCAATTCGACCCGAAATAAATGCTTGGCCACACTATTGAGGCCCATTAACGGCCCAATCGTAAGTTTCCACATGAGTAATTAAATTTCATCCAAATATCACCAATTTCCATTTAGATATTGCATGGTCCATTTATCAACATTTTCATGTTAATAACTATTAAATTTACATAATTTGTTTTTACTGAAATTACTTAGCACGTACAAAAAAAAACCTATAAATTAGGTTGATCAAAATTACAGATAAGTAGTAATATTTTTGAAATCTAAAAAGTAGTTCAATAATGTCTGGAAAAATTTCCATAAATTTTTGTCTCGCACTGTGTTTCATAACTTTGTGTGGAAATTGCGTCGCCCAAACAATAACTGATTTACTACTTGAATCAATGATTACCCTTGCCAATGAGATCAGTGAATTACTAACCATATTGAAACGTAAGGATGGTTTTTCTCTGTGGTATTTTGATCATCCAAACAAGGAAAAATTGATTGCCGGTAGGTAGAGTCAGCCTCTCATAAACATAACTGAAGTCTTATATTTCTGGTACTTTTATCCAGACCGTTTATTTTTCAAAACTCAAACCAGTATAAACAATTTTTAGCCCAAGAATATGATTTCATAATAGTAGGAGCAGGTTCTGCAGGTGCAGTAATAGCCAATCGACTATCAGAAATTGCAGATTGGAAAATTTTGTTATTAGAAGCCGGAGGCCCAGAAACTAGCCTCATGGGTGTACCTCTTGTAAGTGTAAAAATTTAAAATGACACTAAAATTCTTAGGCCAACAGTATTTCAGTTAGCTCCAGCATTTCAACTAACTCCCTACAACTACGAATACTACACGGAACCTCAAAAAAACGCCTTCAGCGGTTTGAATGCCAACAGAGTGCACTGGCCTAGAGGTAAAGTTCTTGGGGGCAGCAGCAGCCTCAATTATATGATGTACACCAGAGGTAACAAGTTGGATTATGACAAATGGGCTGCAGACGGAAACGAAGGCTGGTCGTACGAGGAACTATTGCCGTATTTTATAAAATCTGAAAATGCTTCTGGACTCAACGATGCCCCTGTAGATGAGGAAATTCATGGGACAGACGGTCCTCTGTCGATAGAGCATATTTACGATTCCAAACTAGTACAAGCGTTTATTGAAGGAGGACCTGAAATTGGACTAGACGAGTTTGATTATAATGCTAATAAGCAACCTTATGGAGTCAGTCGTATACAAGCAACTGTTTTGAATGGTATCCTACCTTTTATATTTAAATTTTTTGCTAGTGGGTAAATAATCAGACTATTTCGAAATAATCCAATTCAACACAAGCCATTAGGGAACAATCTTTCACGAGTATTTTTAGGCCACCGTCATAGTACTGGTAACGCCTTCCTATTTCCCATCAAAGAAAGGCCAAATTTGGACATAGTCATAAACGCCTTTGTCACTAAAATACTTATCGATCCAGAAACAAAAGAAGCCTATGGAGTGGAGTATGAAAAAGGTCATAAGACATATCAAGTGAACGCCATAAAAGAAGTGATAGTCTCAGGTGGTAAGTAGCTAATAACCTTTTTTTCACATCATAGCATTTGTAAGAGGACGATTTTAGGAACAATCAATTCAGCACAATTGCTCATGCTCTCAGGAATTGGTCCCGAAGATCATTTGAGAGCACTAGGTATTGATGTTATAGCAAATTTACCAGTTGGGAGGAATCTGAAAGATCATCAGATGTTTCCAGGTTAACTATTCATCAGAATTTATTTTTTATACCTATAATTAAAATTTAAGGTATCTCCTTTGAAATAGATGAAGCCGTAGATCTAAACTCTTGGTCATATCTTACATCTCTAATTCCTTATCTAAGACATGGTGAGTTACATAAGACATAAGTTACATTACACATTTATTCCGTTGTTAAAAAAGCAAGAATACTCTTCGATATTAGCAATAATAATATATATTATTAGGAACTGGTTTATGGACCAGTCTTGGAGGTGTGGTAGGTATAGGATACACGAAAACTGAAGAAGCTGATTATCCAGAAGATTATCCAGACATGGAGCTAATATGTTTAGCTGGAACTGTGGCCAGTGATGTTGGATTATTTACGTACAGAGGCAAGTAAAAAAAAACACTTTCAATTTCATATTGCTATTGTTCTTTGTAGCTTTCAACATAAAAGATTCAGTTTGGAGAAAAGTCTTTAGACCACTACTGGCCGGTCATGCTTTTTCAATATTTCCTGTACTTTTGCACCCCAAAGCCACAGGTTTTAAGAAAAACAACGCAATATCTCAAAAATATACTCAAACAAAATAATTTCTAGGTTACATGGAATTGGTTTCAAAAGATCCGCATAAACATCCAAAAATTTTTGCAAACTATTTTACAGATAAAAACGATTTTGATGTGAAAACCATACTGAAAGGGCTAAGAATAATTCAGAAATTAGTTGAGACGAAGCCTTTTCAAGAATTGGGAGCCAGATTAAATCGAAGATCTATGGACGAATGTCAAGATTACCTGTTTGATAGTGATAATTATTGGAAGTGCGCCATTCGGTAAAAGTCTTCCAGCTTGATACTGTAGATAATACATAATATGAAAATAGGATTAGGCGCGGTCGATTGTCGATTACTGCTCTTTTTATTTTAGAAAGAATAAATACTGAATCTGTCAAAGACCACAGTTAAGGGCTCAATAATGTCTAGTGTCAAATGTAAAATTTTCTTGATATACCTTGTATTTTTTCACGTTTGTATTTTGCATGTTGAAAGTGAATGTTTTACACTTTTAGGGCTATGACTGTAACAATCTACCATCAAACCGGTACCGCCAAAATGGGTCCTTTGGATGATCCCGAGGCGGTAGTAAACCCCAAGCTACAAGTGTATGGTATTAAAAATCTCAGAGTGGCGGATTGCAGTATAATTCCCGGATCACCAACGGGACATACAAACGCAGTAGCTATAATGATAGGAGAAAAAGCTAGTGATATGATCAAAGAAAAATGGGGAGAATTATTGTGAAAAAAATAATGAAATCCAGAAAACGTTTACGAATAATTAGGTTTGTATGTTTTACATATTAATTTTATACCACCTAATAAACTGCTATTTATAATGTCTGTTATGATTTTCTTTGGGGGAATTGATTGATTTATGAGAAAGTCTTGATTATGTATAGGTAGTCTTTCTTATGTGTATGTTCCAAGATTTTAGAGATGATTATAAAAAACAAACAAAATGTTAAATGTCTTGAGGTGTATCATACCTGAGCAATATCTTGAAAACGCCAGTAATACCTTTTTTCTGAAGCTTTAAAAACCGAGTTAAAAACATTCAACATTCTGCCTCAAAACCCTTAAAAGAGATGAGGCCCGACAAATTAATTTGTTAAACTGGTGAAAACTTGTTTGGATCAGAATCTCTAGGATCTTGTTTCTACCTATTATAGATATTTTCTTTTTTATTTGTTCTTCCTTTCCTGTAATATAATCTTAGGAATATACCCGGACTACCCGGTATTGTAAGGAATATTGTAAAAAAAAAAAACAGAAATTTGCAGACCAACAAAAGATGAAGTTGTATCAGTTAACGTAAGTGAAGATTTAAAATTTTCAAAAATTCAAGTCCAAAGGGGAGTCATGGCCGTTTGTCTAGCAACAAACCCATATAAAACTCTGCTCTAGGAGACTGAAAGTCCCAGCCCAGGATCCTTATTCTTGAAACAGGGGAGCAACGTTCCCAGGAGAACGAGTTTTCCGTCTTTCTCAATGATATGCAAATGATAATAAAAGGATAACATAACAATACCTAAACCTAAGGTTTGACAATATACATAAATGTGAACTTATAACTATAGGAAAACTAAAAGATTGTGATTATACCTATCCTTTATTTTTTTATAATGTAGTAAAGGACGGAAATAGTTTCTAGCTAGTGAAATGTGTAATGGTTTACTAATGAGAAATTTGGCATCCTCGCATTTTTGTTGATTTTCTGGTTTGTGACGTCAAAAACCAAGTTCGCGTTTTCGCGCCAGTTTGAAAATTCGATTTTTAAATAAATTTTTTTTCAAAAATAAGCGTTTTTTTTCGGAAAAAAGTATACAGATAGTATAAGTAGTATCTCAAAGTTTTCTATCAAAAAACAAATACATAGAAACAAATGAAAATAAAGAAAATTTAACAATAACATGTAAAGTGGTAAGAAAATTTATATTTTAAATGTACAGACGTAAAACGGGCTCACCAGTTTCACTGTCAGCAATGACAGGGATTGTCATATTTGACAAAAAATCCGTTGTAAAGAAAAGACTAATTTACACAAAATAAATACATATAGAAAGTAACAAATAAAAATAATAGTTATTTACATTCCAAGCTGCGAAAGCGTACTTTTAGGTGCCTCGGCTGCGCTTCGCTTCGCCTTGGCTATTTGAATACTTCCGAGCACCTAAAAGAGCTTTTGCAGCGTGCAATGTATTAAACTTTTCATTCTTCCCCTTCAAAAATCGTGAATAGGCATGCAAAAGTGAAACCTGCTAATAGCGAAAGTGAAAGTAACTACTAGCATGTTTCACTTTCGCTTTCGCTCGCCTATACAAGATAAAAAAATCTACTTTCGTAGGGGGGAGAATGAAAAGAAAATTTTACATGTGTAGTGAATTGTAACAAGTTTCCTTATAGCGGAGTTAGCTTTATAACGTCATAATCAATTACAGTATAGCGGATTCTTCAGCTAATCTGGTAGGAGAATTTACATACATGGACAGACCATGAGAGTGAAGCAAGTTTTTTATTGACACAGTAGCTGCTGATTGGTTATTAAAAAAGTTCATTTTTAGATCTCTAGAAAATAATATGACCTTACACACTAACTCCAATAGCAACCGAGTTGGATAATCAAAATGGGACGCCCTGTACTGTAGTGTTTTGAGTTCATAAATGAAATTACATATATTGAAAAACCAAAAATGTAGATTAGAATGATGAGAAAGCAAAATAGACCAATCATGTAGTACATGAGAAATCGATAAAATCGCAAACTAATGACTAGTTCTGATTTTTTAATGTTGTTAGGACCACTACCAGTACTGCATATCCAAGTTTGCAGCTGCGGAAGACCTGTGCTAACTTCGTAGCACTGGAAAAACCACGAAACTTTCACACTTGTTGTGGTTTTTCCACTATATCACCTACTAAGCGTTTTTTCATGAAACATGTTATTTACGACGATTAAAAAGTAGATTAAATTTGATACAATTTGAGCCCAGGACCAAAAAATGAGAAAACTTAATTTTTCGCTAATTTGCTCTGCTTAGAGGAATTTTAAAGAAAAACCCATGAAGTACAGGGTGATCTATTATAAATTTCACCCCCTTCTAACTTTTTCATTTGACATTTCTGACAAAAGTGTCAAATACAAAAGTTTAAGAGGGGTGTCAGATAAGAGCCAGCGCGTCATCTTTTGGGCTTTATGACATACATTAAATATTTTTCAATCACAGGTGTTCAAATTCTCTGTAAGTGATTTACTTATTTACAAGTAGATGGCGACATCTTCAATTCGTTTACACAGTAATTTACAGTGGACTAAATAATTTTATTCAGATACAAATAAAATAATAGTATTTCACATTTTTAGTTAGGTGGAACAGTTTTCACTGGCGTTTAAAAGAAGTGACTATCCTTCCCGAACTCAGCGACATCTTTTAGAGAAGCGCGGAACACACGTTTGGTTTGAGTCTTTGCTGAAAATGACAGCAATCACCTCGTTGTTTGGCAGATTTTGATTAATTTTGTGATAAAAACATTATAATTTTCGAAAATTCTGTTCTATTCATTTTTTCCAGCAATTTATTATCCGAAATTTTGGACATTTATTGTTGGTGTGCTACTCTATATGTTTATCCCTTTTTCATTTAAATCCGTGACCAAAATTTGCATATTGTTGTAAACAAAATGGTAATAATTTTACTATTTAGAATGCATATTTTGCAACCAAAAATGCTTCGAACGATACTCCCGAGGGGTGAATAGCTCTTGCAGTCGGTGTACATATTCCTCACAATCTTCACACAATCATTCACAATCGTTCACAATCTGTCACAATCTCACACAATCTGTCACAATCGTTACACAATCACACACAATCTCTCACAATCGTGTCACAATCTCCCAAAATCGTTTCACAATATCTCACAATCGTTACACAATCTCTCAGAATTGCTACACAATCTACCACCATTTGTCGCACGTGAGGTCCCTCCAAATAGTTTTATTCGCTTCATTTTCGCCCATAATAATAAGCCAATAAGCTTATTTAATGAGTTTACTTTTGTATGCCACCTGCAGCACACATTTCTGATCTCTAATTGACGTTTTCAATTAAAAGAGATGGACAATAAAGTATGAAAACAATCATTTTCCCGCCAAAATTTGCTTGCTTGTCAATGCCAGTGTGTATTAGGTGTTTTGAAAGAAAATGTGGGAAAAGTCACTACTTTATTTGCAGAACTTCGCTATGGAGAAAGCGGTGGATTATTTTGGAAGCAAACAGCTCCCGCAAACTAAACTTGAACGTGGATTACTGTGTATACTTGATAGGCCGTGGATTTTCCTTTTTTTTTGCGAGTATTCTTTCTGATTTTATGTATCCAAAATTTGAGAAATGTAGGATTTGATGGAAACTTATGGAAAGACACCTCCGCCGGTAAATAGGAATTATTTTTACAAAAAGGCACACTACACAATCATTATTGTTAGGAAAAAACATTGAAAAAACCGAAGAAATAATAGTTTCCAGTTTCCACATATACAAAAGTCTTGTCAACAAACCACTGTCAGCGGCTGTCAACCGTTGTTTTCATACTCTTTTGGCGTCTGACAGTTAGACGCCAGAGAGAGAGGGTTTTAAATTGAAAAGGTCAATTGTACTGAATAGGGAAATACTGAGGGGAATATCCATAAACTCAACCTCAAAAATGTTTGGTTGCCATTGAGGTAGGTGGTTGCCCGGGTGGTTGCTGTGCGTGAAAGTTAACAACAAGGTTAAATAAGTTTAACTTGAAAACCAAAACGAATTCACCTCAGATGGCCTAAAAATCCAGACCTAGACGTTGCAGGAAAAAAAAAATGTAGGTACAGGATGTTTACAAATTCACGAGTAAATATATGGATCTGGGTAACCATAAGAGATGCAGGTTCGGTTAAATTGGTTACGCAATTTCTTGCTGACCAAAATGCCGTTTCAGAATTTGGAAAATTCCGGATAGGTACTAAAAAAACGAAACCGTTTTTATTTTTTCCTGAGCTTATTTTTGAAGAAAAACTTCAAAATGAATTGCATTTCATCGATGGCACTTTTTCTTTTCTACAATATGGCTAGGTATCAAATTTGAAATCCGACGTTCGGTTTTTGGGCCACCCCACCATCAACTTTATTTTTTTGAATACGGCTCTGGCATTTTGTGTAGTTCTTTGTTAGCTGACTTCTTCAATGGAATGGTGTATCAAAACAAAACAATCGATAAAATGAACATTTCGGTCAAAAAAGTATGATATAATTTGTATGGAGATACTCATCTTTGTCAATCAAAAACAATTTACCCTCGAATTTACCCAATTATTATATTTGTTATAAATAATAAGTTTGACAAAGACAAACTTATGAAGAAAACAATGTATTTGACGAAGATGAGTATCTCCATACAAATTATACAGTTTTTTGATTGAAATGTTCGTGTTATCGATTGTTTTGATTCACCATTCTATTAAGGAAGTCAAAAACTAACAAAGAACTAAATAAAAAATCCAGATCCGTATTTAAAAAAATAAAGTTGATGATGTTGACGCAAAGACGAAACGTCGGATTCCAAATTTGATAACGTCATATTGTGGAGGATAAAAAGTGGCAACGATGAAGTGTTATTTATTTTGAAGTATACCTTCAAATAAGCACAGGAAAAAAAAAATGCAAAATTTCGTTTTTTTCCGAATATGTCCAGAAGTATTCGGAATTTTCCAGATTTCGAAATGACATTTTGGTGAGCAAGAAATTGCGTAACTTTGCCCCAATTTTACCGAACCTGTATCTACTATGGATATCGAGATCTGTATA